TAGGTCTGCTGTTCAGAGCAGAGCTGTCTGAAAAACCAGTGACTGTACAAGTTCATTTACACGCCAACAATCACAGTTGGGAATATTCATTACTCAAGAACTCGGGTTCTGTCATTTCCCTTTATAGATTTAGCTTGTAAACTAGTCCAAATATAGGGCTGGCTGTATTAGGGTGCTCCAGAGAAACAGGACCAATAGGAGATCTATGAAAAGATAGAAATGTGGATCTAAATCAATTAGATATAGTTATCTATATCATCTAATTTAGCTTCCCTATAGATACATCTACACATAGATACATCTGCACATGTACGTGTAGATGTATCTACATCATCTACATCTATCTGTCTGTCTGCCTGTCTGCCATTGATTTGTTATAGGAATTGGCTTATATGTTTATGGGGCCTGAGAAGTTCCCCAATCTGCCATTTGCTACAACCAGTAAAGTTGATGTATCAGCTGATACATCAGTCTGAGTCCAGTGTCTGAGAAATGGGGGAAATCCAGAGGTGAAGGTATAAATCCTGGTTTGTGTTTGAAAGCCAGAGAACCAGGACCGACAACGTCCCAGGGCAGGAAAAGATGGATGTCCCAGCTCAAGCAGAGAGAGAAAGAGCCAGTCAGCCTGCCCATCCTCTGCCTTCCTGTCCTACTCAGGTGAGGGTGATGCCTGCCAGTATCCTGAGGGCTATCTGCTTTGCTCAGCCCACCGACACAAATGCACACCTCTTTCAGAGATACCCTGACAGGCACATGGAGAAATAATGTTTCACAACCTGCATGGGCATTTCGTAACCCAGCCAAGGTGACACACACAATTCCCATCATACTGGTGGGCACATCTCCCTTGGGCATCACTGCTAGGCTCATCTTTACTTCCTGTTGAAATGACCTGGAGGAACAGAAACAAAATTCTGGCAGAGACACGATTCCTACAAGTGAACCTGCCACTGGGGTTATCTGGATAGCCAAAGTGCACATACCCACTCGGATGTTCTTGAGACCCCCTAGTTTTTTCCCCCATGACCTATGTGTGGTCTGGCTAGGCCCACACTCAAGCTGAGCCTGGCAGTTTGTGAATCAAATGTGGTCCAAAGAAAACAGCAGGAAGACAGCAAGGGTGAGTGCCGGAGTGAATAGGTGCTTGTGAGATGATATCTTTGTGGGTGGACACGTCTGTGATTTTAAGCATCATATTCTCACTCAGACTGCTCCACTGTCAGCATACTTGCTGACCACACAAAGAAAAATACAATCCTACAGGCTTTAATAGATGTTCTGGCAGATTCTGGCTGTTATTACAGTAGCTTGGGAACTTCAAAACTCAGGGTGTTTTTTCAGCTTTCGCCCATCACGTTGAGCGGGGATGAGGTTGGACTTAAAAGGAAAAATGCTGAAGCCGAGCACAGCGATCCCAGACAATGATTCTGTGGTCTGAGAACGGCAGCCGGGATTCATGCGGGTGACCAGAGGTTCCTTCCAGCCTCAGCAGAGCAAGGGGCTGCTTCTGCCCAGCTTGTGAAATCTAAGCCTGAAGCTGACCCACCACTGGAATGAAAATTCAAACCCACACAGCTTTTGGTCTCCAGGATGACTTTGCGGCTGTCCTTGTTGCTTGCGGCAGCAGTAAGGAGCCTGTTCCCAGTTAGTGAGCAGAACCTTGACTGATAAGAGGGACAGGGAAAGAATTTTAAAAATCTTACAGGAAAACCTCCTTCTAGGAAGTTAAAAAGGGGGTGGGGGTGGCTGGTTGCTAAGTGAGAACACAGGGTGCGGTTGGGGTGGAGTGATGGCAGATCAACAAGCTGACAAGTGTGGGGATTGTCAGGCCCTACTCTCCCATCCCTCCAGGAAGAGGAGCATTTCAAAGTGTTTGGCCGCCACAGTCATTAGAAAAATGCTATTTCTCATTGCTTGGAAAATACTGTATCTCAGCAGGACATTTCACTGTTATCTGTTCTCCCTAGAAATATAGTGGTTGTTGGGGGGGTGGGGGTGGGAGTGGGGGAAGACCCAGCCCCTTAGAAATTAAAGCCATATGCATACCATATTATAAAACAATAATGAAAAAAAACCTAGGCCATTACATTATTGCTGACCATAGGGATTCAGTATTTACAATTTACATTCTTTCCCATACTTTGCTGTTTTCCAGAAGTGAAGAGCAGAGGTTTATGGCCTTCCTAGATCGTAAATCAGATTCCTGAGGGCAGAGAGGGCTGCTGCAAGCGGGAGGAATTGCCTTCTGACAGTTTGCAGAATGTGTCAAAATATCAACAAAAGAACCCAAACAGAGCTGGGACCCTGCTCCACAGGGCAGCACCCTGACTCCCCCAGGCCACAGAGACAAAGGGGTGGCTGGCGGCGGCCGCTCTCAACAGGAGAGACTCCCGAGCCGGCACCAGTGATTCCCCCCAGCCCTCACACAACCACCCGAAATCCCATTTCGACCAACTTGGAGGATTGGCTATCCCCACGGAAGGGAGCACCTGAGAACTGAGTCACAGTGGGTCTCCTTCCAGGGGGCGGGGGAATACTGAGGTGCGGGTGTCCCCAAGGAACAGGTTCCTCATTGTCTACTCACCCAGTGAAGTGGGGGTCAGCGGAGGCTCTGGTCTGGTGACAGATATGACATGTGCACAAGAATCAAGCCCAGGAGTATGGGGGCAGGGACACAAGAGCATTGGGTTCCAAGTCAATCTGACCCTATCACCCCCACTCACGAATTCTGCTCTCGGGTCAAAGCACTCACACTAAGCCTTATCACCCTGGAAAGTGGGGATACCACTCCCAAGCTGTGCATTCAAAGTGGAAACACATACATCTGGTGTAAATAGGGGTGGGGCAAGAAGAGGGTGCTCCGGGATGCCTTTTGCCCCAGAAATGGAAAAGCCACTCACTCTGGCACTGGGCTCAATGGCAAGGCCAGCAAGGCAGAGGCTGCTGCTGGGAAGATTCAGGGGAGGGAGGGGATTCCATGAGCCCAGTATAGAGGTCTTTGAAAGTTCCCCATCCCAGCAATGGCCCTAGTGAACTCATCCTCCCGCTCCTGGTCTGTACTTCATCCACTCTAGAAGTTGGAAGATTCGAAAATTTTTTGAAAGCTAGAGATCATTCTTAAGCCTCTCCCAGGTTGCACCGTAAAACACTGAATCAGTGCATGATGTATACCGACCAACGGGAATGAGCCAAGGCAGCCCTTTGTCAGGCAAGTGGGAATAGTAAGCTTTACAATCCAGATTTTCCAGTGTGGATTCTTAGGGCAGCCCAGCCTGCAATTTGACACTGTAACTGTGGCGACTGTATGTGTTATTTCAGATATGAAAATTCATTATTTGGTTCTATAGTCTCAAACTTCTCTACTTTTCTTTTAGAGGCAAGCAAACTTATTTCCTGGTATTTCCAGTCACAAGTCTCTATTCTGCATCCAAAAAGGGTGCACCTGCCCTAGAAACATGGGTATCTGCGGCCCTGGGGAGGTTGCATGGAGGGGCAGAAGGCCAGGCTGCTGAGAGAACCCACAACATGCAGACCCACAGAGCAGGAGGTGTTTGGAGCATTCCAATACCAAAGAAAAATAGCTAACACTTGAGGCACAAAAGATACAAGCATGAGCCTGGGATGGCCGCATCAGCTGTGAAAGCAAAACTCTGGGGCAAATCCTATTTTTGGAACGTTTCTATTCTCACTGGGTTTAGAAGAGGATGAATTTGCCAATATGCTTCTTGCTTCAGAGGACAATAATGCTGGGGACATGAGTCCCTTTTGCCAGGACTGTGGACACTTACCTGCCACTGAGCCTGTGGAGAGCCAGGTGTGCTGCACAGAGACCAGGTGTCAACCAGTTTCATGAAGCTGCTCCTACACCGACCAGTCGTACAGCCTCAACTGGGTTAGATCATGACAACAAACACCTTCTCAGGGAACAGACAGCTTCCCAATCCACCCCAAAAAAGGCAATGTCAAGGTGGACAAAGTCACAGATAAATTTTTGAAAGGGATTAGAGGCAGTTTTCCTAAACACCGGAGACCAGGAAAATCGTCTTACAATTCAGCATTCCTACAAACTGAAAAATTCATATCCCAGTATTTTTTCCATTTTTGAGTAGACAACAGCAAAATTTAAAAAAAATCCTTTAAATTCAGAGATTTAGAAGCCCTAATTATTTATTACATGAAAGATACCACTAAAGTTCAACTTAAAAAAAAAAATGGTAACCTTCCTCTGTGATAGTCCTATCATCAGATTTAGGATAATATGTGATAAAGGAAAATATGGTGAAAATCTAATTGTTATGGGCCAGCAATGAGACGCTGCAGACCACTGGTCTCAGCCATCACTAATGCTGGCCCTTGCCAAGAACCAAATTTCTGCTATAACCCTTGCCATGTACACACACACATGAAGGGATGCCTCTGTAACGAAACACTGATAAAAACAGTCTTGGCGGGCCTCCCCTGGTGGCGCAGCGGTTGAGCGCTGGGCTGCGAGGCTGCGCCGGTTCGTTCTCCAGCCACTGAAGGGACCACCAAAAACAAAAAACAAAAAAAATCCCAGAGTCTTGGCTCTCCTTACATCCACATTTCAATCATGTAAGTGGGAAATACATTGAAAATTGCAATAGTCTACCTGTGGGAGTGCTAGTTTCCATGACAATAAGAATGCTATACATGAAGCCCACCTGCAGAACTGGGTGTTGCCGTGGGCCCAGGATCCACAGCGGTCACTGAGCCTAATTCAAAGATCATGGGAGTTAAATGCCCTTGTGTAAAGACCTACTTCAGTCTGGTTTCCTATGGATACATTTTTCCTTTCTACCCCATGTTTAGCGTCCTGCCTGTCAGAGCCTGACCAAGCACACTATTTTAGACAAATAAAACACTCCTATGTTCTAATTGCAAAGGTGAGCCTTGACAAAAAGAGGTTATCACACAGAGATGCTGAGTTGCAGCTTCGGGAGGGGACCCACAGAGCCAAACCTAACACATTTGGTAAAGGATTTTATTTCTCCTGGGTGAGTACTTGACTCACGAGCTCACTATAGAAACAGTCCTAGTGAAAATAAGGCTAGGGTTTATGGGATGTCTTTTATCATCAAAATACTTAACGGGTCAACGGATTGTCCTAGCATTGCTGTGGGGGCGTTCAGCCAAAGCTTTTACAAATGGTGAAAACAGACATAAGAAAAGTGGGAAAAGGCCATGGAAAGACAATGGATGACAGTAAGGGAAAAGGAGTGGATACACAATACCGTGCTACCCAAGGAGAAAACACATCCTTGCACATAAATTCTGAAACAATGGTGGCTTTTCAAGGGTGGTTTGCAAATGGCGCGAGGTGAACATGATGTTCAATCATTCCCCATATTAAATGACGACTCTGAAACCTGTTCCCTATTTCCATCAACGTGAGGTCCCTTTCCACAGAAAGGGGTGGGAGAAGTAGGCCAAATCCAGCAGCACGGTTTCTAGGAGGAATGGCAATGTGGTCCTGGCCGGTCACGAAAGCCCTGGCTTTGTAGCCACTGTGAAGAGCGTTTCCAGAAAGGGGACAAAGAAAGTCGACTCAAAGAAAGAGCGTGGAAAGGATCTGAGGACTTCCCAGGCTTTTTGTACAAAGCCATGCAGGGAAAACTGTCTCCTATGTGCTTTGTTTTTAGAATAACCCACAGGAAAGATAGTCAGGGCGTGCTACAGGGCTGCTCCCTCTGTGCTGCTCTTGGGGAAAGGAACACGCTTCCTTAGTGGGACCGGCCATTCATCAGAAGGGTCTGCGAGTGCCACGCCCAACTCTTCTGGAAAACGGACTTGGAAGCACTCGGGACTGTGGCCTAGGCCTGCGGAAGGAGAGCGGAGGTGGACGATGGCTGTGCTAGGACACCAGCACTTGGGGCTCAGGAAGGCAGTGTGCAAGGATAAACCAGACAAATCATGATTTCAAAGTAAAATAAAGTTTTACACTGTGCCTGTTTACAGAAGGGTCTTAGATGGGTCATAGAGTGCAAGCGGGTTTATGAAGCATGCACCTCTTGGCCTCTCTTGGTGCTTTGATGGCAAGGATAGCTGGAGAGTGGGGGAAGTGCAGAGCTGTGCCTGCCACAGCCACCTTTCCCAGGTAGCTTCGGCCTGGCCACCACTGACGCCTCTCTGAACTGCACGTCAGCTCTGGAGCAAGTCTGTGTGAGGCTCTCTACCAAGCGGTGGCCGGAGCACAGGATGTGACCCCGGGCTGCACGATTCATTTAACCCCTTCACCCTGGAATTCCTTGACAGAAAAAGAAAAACATGACACTTCTATGGTTAAAGATTTCCTTAAAGGGGGAAAAGACATGGGAAACCTTTGTGCTCTGTGAAATGAAGGAACAAAGGGATTGCTTTCAGTAAATTTATGTCTATAAGCTGGGTACTGGCCACTTGGAGAAAAAATTCCAACTTGGCTGATGTAACCATTAGCAGAGTGAAAAGCCATGATTCTCTTGTTCATTTCCTGCTGATTACTTGGGCAGGTTAAGAAATAAGACATATCTGTGTGTGAACCCTCTACATGTTTTCCTTTTTTCTTGTCACTTTATAAAACACACCTATTAATTCATATTATCCTAAAGTCTTGAAAAATACAGTGATGGCTAATAAACAGTGGAAAATACCACTGAAGATGCACACCTTTGCAAGATGCAGAGAAAGGAATAGTTTACAGAGACAGATCTTTGATGGGCTTTAACGTCAATTGTTTTATTTAAAACTGGGATCCATCGGAGGTGAATTATTGGGGTAAAGGCCTAGCGCATGGCACGGATGAAAGGTAATACTCACCAGCACCTCACGTGAGACTAAGACAACGTCAGCAGTACACCATGGAAGGAGGACAAGTAAAATGTAGAAGGCACCTGGCTGGGGGGGAGAAGCCATGGTGTTCATGCCTCTCCAACAGGCTCACTTCTGTACACTGTGGGGGAGTCGGGACAAATGACATGTGCAACGGAACATAGGGGTTCTGACTGGAAGGCCAGGATTTGATGTCGGTAGCTAAACTTTCCTTGGACTGGTTCACTTGCCATGTGGTTTAAGGTCCTAAAAGGAGAATGAGGTTGCTAAATAGTAATATAAAAGCTCTCTCCTGCTCTTTTCTTCAGAAGAGAGGGAAACCTTTCCCCATTCCAGTTCAGCAGTGGCTTCTGAAGACTTTTAAGTATCCTGACATAAAAACAAATAACAACAAAAGACAGTAAAGTAGCCTGAACATCAACCAGTCACTCAGAGAGAAAGGCAGATTCATAAAATTAAAAACTGATGACCAGTCCATTAGCCATATAGTGAACGCCTCATCCATGTGGAAGTGTGTCAACTGCATCCACAACACACGTAAGCACAAAGCTGCTCTTGGCAACTGTGAGTAAAGAGCTACCTCTCCATGCCACACTGCACGGCTCCCGGTGACCGCATGCCAAGGGCTGGAGTTAGAAGAGACTCCCCAACTGGCCAAGTACCCAGCAGTGACCTGCCCGCTGTGGCCAGGTCTGCGTGGAAACAAGGCTTACACGCTCCGATAATGGCCCCTCCCCCCCAAGTCCCCTCTCTTCCCGTTTGCACTGTTGGTTTTAGACCTAACAGGGAGGTCTGAATGAGTTCCGTTCCCTCCCCGTTCTAGGCACTCTCTGGAACATCTTTGTTCAACCAGCATCTTTCATTTCTTTCCAACTCCATTGGTGACTTTTGACTTGGAATGTCGATTCCTTCTCCTGGAAGAATGGCTCTCGTTGTTGCCTGGGTGCTTGGGTGGGCTGTCCTCAGAACCTGGCCAGAAGAAGCAGAAGCTGTAGTCATGAGGGCCACCGGATGCCTGGGACTGGCCGCCCCTTCACTAGTTCTCCAGTGGCCGCAGGCCTGCTGGGGAAGTGCAAGCTCTTCCGCTGATACTTGCACACCACCTAGTGGCCTCACTAATAAATTCAGGCAAGCTCAGAAACCCTAGCACTGAACCAGCACAGCCCGTGCTTGGGTAGGCAAGGCGACAGCCCCTGGCGGCGGTAAGGGCTGGGGGGTCCTGAAGGCAGCCACACTCACAGTATGTAGTGCACTGGGGTGGTGGTGAGGGGGGCCAGAGTGAGGGTACACAAAAGGAACAATGAACACTTAGACCACACGGAGTTGCCTCCTCCCCTTGCAGCCAAGGAAGCATCACCTAGATTTCCACACCTTGACCTGCCACACACCAGAGTTTCTAATCCCTGCATTGGAAGGGATTCTTACCTTCCCAAAGCTAAAGATATTACCTGCTTTCTCCCGTGGGATCTGGAAGCCTCCTGGGGTCCTGCTGTTCAGGACAGAGTGCCCTAGAGTCATACACTGAAGGTGCTACCTGCCCCCAAGATGCTCACAAGCCAAGGGGCCAACATCACTGACGGCACTGTATTGTTTTGGAGTTGGGGCAAGACTTCCTCGGTGGGCTGAGCACTGAGCAATCAGTAGGCACGAGCCAGGTGGAAGGCTGAATCCAGGGAGCTGGGGTGGGGTATTCTGAGAAGAGGCGGGGGGAAGGCCTGGGAAGTCAGAGGAACTTCCTGGCACTGGGTTAGCTCTGCCCTCAAGACCAGGAATGTGGGGCCTCCCCGGTGGCGCAGTGGTTGAGCGCTGGGTTGCAAAGCTGCATGCAGCCTCTGTGGCGCCGGTTCGATCCCTGGCTGCTCCCCGGCCACTGGAGGAGGGTCCCACATGGCGCGCAGACCTCTCCTGCCGCCCGCTGCTCCCCTCAGCAGTGTACTTCGGTCCTTCTGCCTGCTCTGCTTCCCGCTCTGGTGAATTCTCTCACCCTCCCACGCTTCTGACTGTACCCAGTGCATGTATAAACAAACAAACAAACAAACAAGCAAACAAATAAATAAATAAACATGCCTCTATAAAAAAAAAAAAAAAAAAAAAAAAGACCAGGAATGTGGCCTAGTCCTGGGCCTCTCAGCCAAGCCAAAGCTTCTGCACTCCAGGGCTTAGACCTGGCCCAAAAGGAAATCATCCAAGTTGCCAGAGTTTTAGTCTCCATTGTAAATAGTATTTGGCTTGGTCACAGAGAATCTTTTACCACTTTAAAGGTTTTCCTTTTGTCACTGGGTATCGTTCATTTAAATATCTCTCTGCCATTAAATCTACCCCTACTGCAGCTTGCATCTTTTTTGTCTTTTTAGGGAGAAGTGTCAAGAGTGGACCTGCAAGGCAATAGTTCTGAATAAGGGAGCTCTGGGGAACCCCTACGCCCACTTCTACCAGCCTCCCAGAACAAGTCACTGACTGACATCCTGATTCAGGAGAAACCACTTTAATAAGGCTCCCAGAAGCTCAGCAGGGTGCTGGCTTGTGTTTTCGGAGAACTCTAATGAAGGTTGACCCCAAAGAACTCAGGAGAGTGATGCCACAGCAGTGCCTTCCTCTCCCTGGGCCGCTGCTTCTCTCAGCAAGCCTGTGAGCTACAAGTCAGACTCTGGTATTAGTGATGCTCTCCCTGCAGTCAAGCCCCCTTCAGCACAGGAGAATCAGCAAGGAGTTGCCGTGCAGTACAACCTCCTCAGCATCATGACTGCACAAGCCTAATTATTTTAAAAAACCAGGTGACCCCAAATCTTTCCAAAATGCTCTTTGGAGAAAGGCCAATGGGAGGTACCTGAGCCCACTGAGAATCCACCTGACCCTGGCTGCCTCCTGAGGAAATTTGATGCCATCGATCCACCACTGCTATAAGGCCCCTCCTGGCACACAACTCCCCCTAACCCTTTTCACTCACCAGGAAAGCCATGAGGAAGAACCTTCCCGGCAGCTCAGGTGCTTGAGGTGGAAGGGGCATTGGTATGCTTTCACGTCAGAAAAGGCAGAGCTACGGGGAGCCTTTAGCCTTTTCTTTTGAAGCAAGTTATTTTGGGGAGATCCTTCGAGTACTCTACACATTCATTTCATTAATTAACAGACGGCATGCTGCTGAGTGTTCAGGTATGTGTTTACCAATAATCAGAAGAGAAAGATTGACTCTAAATCTCCTTACTTGGGTGGGAGAGGCCCCCAAAAGTTTTAAACAATAAACTTAAGAAAGATATACCTTTTGTACCTTTGCCGTGAGGCCAAGAGAGGTCCGGACTGTAGGTGCCATCTTCACACTCTGAGTAGGTCTAGGAAGAGAGGAGGTTTCAGTCCTGGAATTTTCAGGACCCCGGGGATGAGGGGTGGCCATGCAAAAAGTGAGGCTGCTGGGTCCCTGTCTCTCTAGTGTGAACCCCTCTTTATGCCTATACTTCTCAGCTGTAAAACCAAGGCTAGCTGGCAGGTGATGCAGAATACATCTAAAAAGTGCCTTTAGTTGCTTAGACTAAAGGGTGAAAGCTGTTATTTTGACTTAAAAATAGTACAGCTGCCAAGAGGGCTGCAGTGCTTCAATCGTTCACATCTCTTCTCTATTTAACCTTCACTCACCAAAAGGTGGGTGCTGTGATGGGGAACCCCAAGTGGGTCACAGGAAGAGACTTGAATAAAACCTGGGTGTCCAAACACTGGCTCCCCCCGAGTTTCTTGTTTAAACAAGCATGTAGTTGAAACTTTTCAACTCCTTATAAAAGGATAAAAATACGGACCTACAGGCTAGGGCAGTCACTGACATGGACAGCAGGGGCTCGGGAATGAATCCTGAACTGGACAGGTGTCTAGAGGGGCAAGTCGGACTCTCATAGCTCCTGCCAAGCTCCGGCACCCCCGTGACCATGCTCTGGGCAAAGGCTCCACACAGGACATGCCTGCTTTAAACAAGGACTCTCTCTGCTCCCTGACTGTACCTTTTCTCGGTGACCATAGTGCTCTGCATACCAGACCATGCCGTACAGACACAGGAAGGTGGTGAAAGCCTGGAAAGGAAAGACGAACACAAAACTGTTTTAGAAATGATGCTGCACAAAAAAACTCTATTTGCCACAACTCCAGGTTTTGGGTGGGCATTCATGAGACAGCTCGGTGCATCCCTGCCACCTCTCCTGGGTCGTCTGCTACAAAATGGCTGGACGTGGCAGGCATGGAACATGAGGAGATGAGTGGAGGATGCAGCCCGAAGCTTCTGACAAGGAGTTAGGATGAGACCACAGTCACTGCTCGTGACTATGCTGGAATACAAGGTCATCTTCACAAGCAGGATAAGGTGGGGTGCGTGTTTGACAGCATGGCAGGTTCTCCTGAACCTCGTTACTGGTTTTCTTTTTTTTTTTTTTTTAACAACTTTTTTTTTTTTTAATTGTTCTTTTTTTTTTTTAAAGATTTATCTGTTTATTTATACAAGCACTGGGTACAGTCAGAAGCACGGGAGGGTGAGAGAATTCACCAGAGCCAGAGCGGGGAGCAGAGCAGGCAGAAGGACCGAAGTACACTGCTGAGGGGAGCAGCAGGCGGCAGGAGAGGTCTGCGCGCCATGTGGGACCCTCCTCCGGTGGCCGGGGAGCAGCCGGGGATCGAACCGGCGCTGCAGAGGCTGCGGGCAGCTTCGCAACCCAGCGCTCAACCGCTGCGCCACCGGGGAGGCCCTCGTTACTGGTTTTCAAGACCCATCCTCGCCACTGTGCCCCCTCACTGGAGAGAGTTAAAGGTCTCGGTTTGTCAGCTTTTGTGGGAAGAGGACTTCAGAATGGAGAAGCGTGGGCCACAGTATTGCTGGCCTTACCTGCCCATCTGCAAGTGAATCAGCCAAAATAAAATGACTGCTTGTTGCACCATTAAATTTCTTCAGGATTTCCGTGCTTTAGAATTTCATCTCTAAGGAATCTTTGACACTAAACCATCTTCACTGTCTAACCCTCGCCTCTTCCTATGCATTTCCTGCTGGGGTCCTGTTACCTAGTCCCAACCATAGGTATAGCTGTGGGGTCATGCTGGAACCTTCACTTCTTGAGGGCATTATTTTTACTATTTCCAAGAATCACAACTTTGGATCTTTTTAAGAGGGTCACCTCAGAGTTCATTAACTCCAGCTCCCCTCATTTCTCAGAGGAGGGGAGATGGCCTTGTCAAGGACACAGAGCTAGTGTGTGTTAGAACCGGAGCCAGCACGGATATCTCTTGACCAAGTTTTAGGGGTGGCCATCACGATAAGCGGTAACTTTGTATCTGCACACTTGTAGGTCTCTAACCACTCATCCATCCCAGAGAAAGAAAAGCATGGTGGGATCAGCCAGGAGCGGCAGTGGCTGCATGGCCCCATCTGGGGTGGAGCAAGGGGGAGGCAGAGGCTTTGCACTGTCACCTCTGCAGCCTGCTGTCTAGCTCTGGTCCACTTTCTTTCAGTCAATCCCATGTACTGTCTGCTGGTGTATAGTGTCCTCTCGTCTTCTTCAGTGTCAAAAAAGAAAGGCGCTCATGTGATCCCACAGACCTTCCCCTTCCATTTCATCCCTGACAATGAGGGAGAGATAACAAGAAACACAAACAGGACCCTCACCTCATTTTATAGTAAACCCATATGCAAAGGGGCATATATATGGATGGAGCAGGCATTTTCTTTTTTCTTTTTTTAAAAAGCTCACATCCCACTATCAAAAAGTGAAACAGACAATTAATGTGTTAAAATTTTAAGATGGGGCCTCCCCTGGTGGCACAGGTGGTTGAGCATGGCGCTGTGAAGCTGTCCACAGCCTCTGCAGTGCTGGTTCAATCCCAGCCAGCCAGCAAGGGTCCCACATGGGGCAGCAAACCTCTCCTGTAGTGCCCGCTGCTCCCCTCAGCAGTGTATTTCATCAGTTTGCCTGCTCTGTTAACCTGAGCTGTCTCTGGTGAATCTTCTCACCCTCCCGTGCATCTGATCTGTACCCCAGTTCTTGTATAAATAAATAAAAAAAATTATAAAATGAAAATGACTTCTCACCTTGAACACAGTCTAGCACTTGCTTAGATATATACCTACCATCTTCATTCACGGAAAGAGTAGGGACAAGTGAAGGACTAGCAGTGTGTAAATGTCTGTACGAGGCATGTCCTTTACAGTGCAAATCAGGCCATTCTGGGGCTCAGGGCCAGCAGGACGACAGTGGTAGTGCCATGGGGGTGGGGACACTGGCCAGAGCAGCGGTCCTTCCACTAGAGCCAGGAGCCAGGAGCCAGGAGGGTTGGGCTGTCATTGTGAATTCTGTCCACCAGAGGGCAGACGTGTGGGGCTCTGACTTCACTGGCACACACCTGGGAGGGCAGAGAGGGTGGCAGGGGCTCCAGCAGCAGACAGATTGCAGCACTGGCTTTGCAGCCGGGCATACAAACCCCAACAGGTGGTGAGCGACAAGTGCTTATCATCACAACCGCTACACAAAGGGTCTGCTGTGGGTGCCAGATTTACCCCTTCATCTGGGTATAGGAGGCCCATTTTACACTTGGAGACAAAAGGCATGTAATTTATGGGTTTGTAATCACACCTGTGCAAATCTACACAAGTACCTACTTAAAAATGTCAAGGCCTGGATTTAAAATAGCCACTGTACAGATTTTCTTTAGTGAGAGAAGAAAAATACATGGAACAAGTTCCAAGGTAGTCCAGGACGATGGGTGTGAGGCCATGGGGGCCTGAGCCCCGGCTTGACCTCTCTGTGGGGGACATGAGCATCCAAGCTTATGAGGACCTATTCACCAGCACAAGTGGTCTTTGCTTCCACATTAATCTCACATTCTGGATGTGTTGTCTCATTACGCAAGGGAAATAATTAGGGGTGTTGCTTTTAAGTAGTGTGGAAGGCATGGCATAACCTCACGTTCTCATTGAATAGTGCTCACCTCACTACTGAAATCAATCTTGATCTCTCATAAATATGAAAAAGTACCATTCCTTGTTTCCATTCTTCTTCTTTAATAAATGTGAGTCACTGGAGACCACTAATCCTTCTAGAGATGGCCTCTTTTCAAGCCAGGCCCACCTCCATGGCACTTATCACTGATAATACTCAACAGCTTCTCAGCCTCAGCCTGGCCTCCACATGTAGCTGCTCCCCCAAATTCCATCCTCATCCCCATGCTGTGTTCCCCCAACTCTTACCTAATCCAGTAGCTCCCAACTCTCTTACCTCCGCCACTGATCAAATCTTTCCAAGATTATCAGAGACCAGAGTTTTCAACGATACAAGAAATTTAAGTTTTAAAGGTTTCTCCAACTCCAGTGCTCCTGAACCAAATTCATCTCCTTTCAACAGCCTCTCTGATATACCCAGTTTGTTATTAGAACAGGTAGCTTTGGTTCAGCCTCAGTCACTTCTCACCTAGGGCCCTGCAAACCCCTCAGACCACATACTTCTTTCATCTTCCTTTCTGCTAGACTCTCCATCCCTCTACAGGTTTCTCTGTGAGGTCGAGAAAGGCTTTTCTTGCTGAAAAACCTTTAGCCTGCAACTTCAGACACACAAAGCCTAAGGAGATGCCCCTGTCCTCTTCTCTGCATGTTAGCTCTCCTCACTCTCACGCCCAAACAGGCTGCCATCTTCCTGGGACACTGGGCACTGGCCCACCTTCTTGTCTGCTTGCCTCTCAGTCAGCCTGTAATTCTCCTGGTCTCTGTCTCCTGCACAAATTCCTTTATTCTTCATGTATTTCCTGAGTGTTTGCATCCACCAGGCACTGTGCTAGTGTCAGTGAGGACAAAGGACAATGAAAACTTACTCTTTGAGAGCAAGAAAGTACAATGTTGAGGAGACAAGTTATAAACAAGACAGGGTACAGTCACTGGGGTTGGAACTCAAAGATATATGAAGAAAGGGTGACTAGTTCTCCAGGAGAGAATTAACTAGTCTTCCCTGGAAGACAAGGTGTATTTCATAAGGGCATAAACTAAGTTTGGTGTTCGGGTATAAAGAATCAGGGGGAGAGAGGCAGGGAAGAGTATTCAGATCCAGCAAAGGAAGCACTGTGTATGAAGGCAAGAGAAATCTGGAAGAATGACCACTGAGAGAACTATGAGCAGTTGGATGCAGCCTGAGTATAGGGCACAGGTGGGTGTGGTATGACAAATGATCTAGATAATGATGGTCCTAATCACACAGGCAAGATTTCCTATTTCCACCGGTAGGTTTTGTAGTGGGAATCCTTTCTCCCTCTCGATATTTCTTTCTACAGAGCTGGAGCTTCCCTGTGGTAATCCTGCTTCCCCCCAACCCCTGTCTCCCAACTCGAGGTGGAGGGAGGGAAAGCCCTCTCAGGGCTGGGGAATGTTAGTCAAGGAGGCTCGGCACATGCTGTTTTCCCCAGGGGCTAGGCCACCAGGGAGACGGGGAGGCCTGCTTCCTGGGGCTGGAGATAAGTGTGTCTAATTCTGGGGTCTACTATTAGGAAGCCTCTTTGTTACTGAGCATCTAAAGCTATTTATTTCTTTATAAAAGAGAAATTCTCTTTCTATAAAAGAGGGATAAAAGTACCTTCCCACAAAGTGTGAAAATCAAAATGCAAAATGCAAAAAGTGGTTTCTCAGTAACAAAGATGCTATTCTGATCTCCACATCCTTTCACAGACCTATCTCTTAATTCTTTTGAATGTGGGTGCAGGAAAATGGTATATTACTGAACCCTCTTAAGCCCCCAACAATAGGGAATGGTTTCTAAGCAGGGGAAAGAGATTAGCATATGGATTTTGGATAAAATTACTTTGGCACCAGCAGACAGAATATCCATTCTGTCAAAGGCAAAATGGGGTGATCAGTCTCACTGGCTGATCAGACAGCCAGTGAGGTGGTGGAAATGGAGAAGGGGGATGGAGATGGGCTACTTGCTGAGTAACAGGACTTTGTGATCTGCAAATGTGAAGAATGACAGAAACAGCCCTCTAGGCTCTAGCAGGTCCACTCGAGTGATAGGGGCCCCATTCACTGCAATCCTCTAAGATCCTGCGTGCCTCCAGGAAGCATTCCCAGCTACCCCCTCCCAGGCTGGTCTGGAACCCTCATGCTCCTTCAGCTCCAAGGACATGCAGTCTGCATAATATTCCTCACCTATTAACATAAGTCATTTGCATGGATAATTCCCATCTGGACTTACAGTCTCTTGGAGGGGGGGGGGGCTGGAATTCTCTAGCTAGACTGGGTTTGAGTCCTCCTCTGCAGTAGGTGGCTGTGCTACCTACTGTGTGACCTTGAGCAGATTAGTGAAGCTCTCTGAGCCTTATTTATTTCTTTATAAAAGAGGAATTCTATTTCTATAAAAGAGGGATAATAAAGTCTCTTCCTGCAAAGTGAAAGTCAAAATGCAACTTGTGAAAACGGCTAGCACATAGAAAGCATTAACCAATTTTATCATCACCATCGTCTACCTGTGTGAGTCCAGCACCAGGTGCAGCTCTGATGTTTTGTGGATGAATGACAGGCTTAGAAGGGACCAGGACAAATGAAGTAGCGATCAATGGGAACATAGAAAGTGATTCATGTCCTCAATCAAGTTACAATTGCAAAGACACAAGGACAAATCAAAAATGACCGACAGAAGGTAGCGTATGCTAAACATCGTATACGTAAAACAGAGTCTCTAAAACTTAAAGAGAGACTGGAGGGGTACCTGCAGGCTGGGCGAACCAGAGAGATCTTTCTTGGGATCTTTCTGGCTACTGAGGCCCGAGGGAGAGCTATGTGCAGGGGCCTGTGCTGGGCTGTGGTGAGAAGTGGGCTTCTGACCATGTCCCAGGAGTCTTGCCTGCCTCAACCTCTCTGTGGTCCTCACAGCCCTCGGGGCTAGGTGAGGGCAGCACTACCTCTGTCCTCCTCTGCAGTAGGTCTCTGAGAAATCTGAGAAGCGCATGGTTGAAATCTCCAGGAGCATCTGACAAACTCCCCTAAATGATCCTTCTATCTCATCTCACTGGGATGTAAAAAATATATTCAAGCCTTAATTCTGGAGTTAAAGTACAAAGGACATCATTATTCCCTCTTCATTGTTCAAGATAAAAACAGGGCAGAACAGGCTCAAGGCGCCCTGGCACCATCAGGATGTCTAACAAGTAGCCCTAAAAATAGACACCATGAAAGGCAATAGAAACACTTTAAACCTCTTGTTCCAGTTACCAATTTAAAAAACATACACAGGACAAAGAAATCTGTTAAGTTACAGTATAGAATGGAATCAGCAAAATCCTGACTGTGGGAAAATCTACGGGACAAAAGAACTGTTTTTTCCCCAACAAATAAACTGCAAAGGAGAGTGAGCTAGAGACAGAAGGAAAACTACAGATGAAGAAGCTTGTAAGGCATGCCAGCCAGGTACAATGAGTGAATGTGGATTTCAATAAACTGCTAAAAAGTATAAAATTGAAGAAAATATTAATTAGGACATGGATTAGATATTTGATAGTATTAAGAAATAATGTTAAATCTTGTTCTGCTATGATAACTGCATGGCACTTGCAATAAACAAACAAAGCATTCTTATCTTCTTGGAGAGAGACATCCTGAAATATTAAAGATGGATCAGCTTGAAAATAAGTTGGGGTCAGGATAGTGAATAAGGTTTATAAAGAAATGGCTGCTAATTGTGGAAACTGATGGGCACATGAGGGGTCATCTGTTCCATCTACTTCCAAATACCTTTGAAATTTTCTATGATTATAAAAAAGCCCAGATAAATTTTTAGACCAAGTAAAACAAAGGGTCTTAAGCATAAATGTAAAATTAGACTTCTTCCCAAAATAATATAACTAAGAGGGACAGACACTAATGTTTAAGTTGGCTAAGATCGATTTCTTTTTTTTTAAAAAAAATTTATTTATTTATACAAGCACTGGGTACAGTCAGAAGCGTGGGAGGGTGAGAAAATTCACCAGAGCCAGAGCGGAGATCAGAACAGGAAGACAGATGAAATACACTGCTGAGGGGAGCAGCGGGCATGGCAGGAGAGGTCTGCGCGCCATGTGGGACCCTCACCAGTGGCCGGGGATTGAACCGGCGCTGCAGAGGCTGTGGGCAGCTTCGCAACCCTGTGCGCAACTGCTGCGCCAACAGGGAGGCCCAGCTAAGATCTATTTCATTTTAAAGGAGGGGAAAGTCACAAGACCTGGAGGCCCCAGGGCTTGTCCCCACCAAGGAGAAGCTCAAACTTCTACACAGGCCTGACCTGTGAACAGCATGGTCTTCTCACCTTCAAAATATCTCATATTCCCTACTAACCACAATTTGTCATTTTGTACATAAACCATGGTGCATATATATATATATATATATATATATATATATATATATATATGTTCTAGACCTCTGTAATTAGCCTTGTCCCTTCAGGGCAGGCCTAAAATTCTTAGTACAGGTTGACAAATTCATAAACACAAATATGTTGTGTCTGCTGAGAGCATCAGGCCAGAACCAGCCAAGGCTATTCCTTTAGGCTGCTGTGTGGTTCAATATGTGTTTCAGTCTTGAACTTCAGAGAGACTTCTGGGTAAAAAGAAGTATTAACTTACCACGCAAAGAAGCCACAGCATGACGTAGAGTATTTGGGTCTTAGAGAAGAGATCTTGTCCAAATTTTATGCAGACGATGGCTTCCAGGAAGCCAATGACCCTGTTAGAAAACAAGAGGTTAAATATTAATATTTCATGCTGGAGCATACATGTTGATAGAAATATACATTAGTCCACTTTTTTCATCAAAAAGTGTAGCTGGTCACAAGATTCCTGTCCTAAAAACTAGTAGCTGGTCCCCTACAAAATGACAATGTTCTAGCCTACTGCACTTTCTTCAGAAACAGTATGTATGTGATTTAATTATAAGTTAGTTATATTGTTACCCCCTTTTCCTTTTATTAAGACTTTAAAAATTATTTTATTTTACCTTTGCATTTTAAAAGAATAGGTTTATTAGGAAAAGGAGAGAAAAGAGAGACACGCGCATAGTCACAGGTGGGCAGGGAGGAGAGCTGCCTCAAGACTGTTTCTTGAGCAGTTTTAGATTCACAGCAAAATTGAAAAATAGGGACAGAAATTTCCCATATACCCAATGCTCCCCACATGCAGTCTCTCCCCACCCCCACAGAGGTGCATTTATTACAACTGATGAAGCTACATTAACACACTATTTTCCCGCCAAGTCCATGGTGTATCGTAAGGTTCACTTGCAGTATCGTACGCTCTATGGGTTTGGGCAAATGTACACTGACATGTACCCACCATTACGGGATCATACGAGCATTTTCACTGCCTTAAAAATCCTCTGCACTCTGCCTGTTCATCCTGCCGCCCTCCCCAGAAATCCTAACATTTTTTTTTTACTTCTTCCTCCCAGACTAAAATCTCAACTTTCACATTTGAATATCTGGGCCACCTGGTGGCATCTGACTCAGAGTCTCTGTGACCACCAGCAGGGATGGTCGCATCTGTGTCGAAGCCCTCTTGGCACAGGGAGCCTACCACCTTCCTGGGTGGCTCATTCCATCGCTCAGCCTCTCCAGCTGCCGGGAGGCTTCTCCTGGTCTCAGGCTGGTATCTGCCTCCTTCCACCCCTGGGCACCAAGGCTGCCCTCCAGCTGTCCAGAACAAGTTTGAGCCTTCCAGTAACTCCAAAGGAAGCAACCCTACCCCCTCCCAGCCTTCTAAGGACTTCCAGATTCAATATCCTCTGTTTTCACTGACAACATAAATATCTGCTCTTGATTTGTAAGCAATTTCACAAAATACAAAAATTTTTTTTAAAGATTATGTTTAACCCACTAATTAAAACATCATAGAAAAAAGTCACTCTTGTGTTCTATATTTTCATTTATGAATATAAAAATCAGACCTCTACAAAGGTTCAGAGCTTGACGGTAAGAACAGATGAGGGGGTGGTGGGGTGCCTGGTCATGTGATCCTTAGTTGCCTAAGCAGGCTGATTTCAGATACCCCACTTCAGGCGTTCCCCACTCGAGATAGAATCTGGACAATTAGGGAATGTACAGTCACACAGGTGAGAAGGGACCCCCCCCAGCACGGACATACACAAAGGCGGTCTTGGTGCCATCATCCAGGCTATGGATGGCTCTAAACAGCTCAACACTTAGAACTGGAACCACTTCAGTAAAGCAGAAAAAGTCTTTATCTTCAGAGCATCTGGTTGTGTCTTTCCCCAGAGTCCCAACCATACTAGGTTTAAGAGTGGTTGGCTGAGTATTTCAGGCTTGTCTTCCCTACCCTCAAAGGATGGCGAGTGTGAGAGAGCATGGTTTTAGCTGGGGTAGACAGGAGGCCTGAGGGCTGCGTTTCCCAGTCATCCTGAGGCCTAGCCTGGGAGCTGACAGCTATGTGGGCAGCTACACTTTGGCTCCTTCCAGCTGCCTGGTGAGGGGGAGGCTGCCTGTGAGGGGACATGAAAAGGACTGTCTGACCTCCAGCTGGGACTTCTTAAAGAACTACAAACAGAAATGTTAAGCCCAAGAGTAAGGACCTATCTGCCCTTCAGTCAGACAGAACATCTGGGAATTTACTGCGAGAGCTTTCTAGATACTCAAGTCCACTGAGTCACCCAGGCCTCCCTCAGCATGGCTCTGAGACCCTGTATAAATACAAGGCTCTCAGATGGTTATCAGTCAGAGCCAGGTGGTCAACTGGCTTGATGGAACTCAATCTGAGCACCTACCCTTATGATGCCAGTGGTGCTCCTGATCATGAGCACACTGACATTTTAGCTGCCTGAGTGCCACTGCCTGAGATGGCATAGAGAATCCTGACCTAGGGCTGGAAGAACTGGGAACACTCCCAGCTCCCCCTCTCTGGGGAGCCTGCTCTTTGGAGACAGGGAGGAAATAAAGTGATTATTAATGTAGAGTCCAGGGTGAAGAGTTGTGCACTGAATGGATCAGGAATGTCGGTAGGCTCCTTATAGATACTCAGAGAGGGAAGTGCAAGACTGTGTGTGTGTCAGGGGGCATTACAAACCAATTCTGAGAAGCGAAGGATCTTTACAGTTTGCCAACAAACCTGCTTTTGGAGTCTGATGATACCCTGCCAGCCTGCATCCACAAAGACTGCTTGGCTGGCTTCACAAGAAGGCATCATGGGAATGGCTTAATGGGAGGGTGAGCCACTCTGGAGCCAGCCAGCTAGGAGCTGACTCTCCAGGAGTGGAAACCAGATGTGTGTAACATGACATAGCTACTGTATCATCACATGGGGGCAGGGCTCAGGAGCAAGGCTCTAGTTCTGATCAGAGTGAGCAAAGGCAGCTTTCCAGAGGAAGTGACAACTGAGCTGGGCTGGGCATGGGCAGAGAGTCGGGTGAACCCTCCTACAGTTGTCCACACCCCTCAGCGAGCTCCCTTCCCCTGTGCTTCAAAAAGAGCCTCCAAGAACAACAGCACAGCTCCAAGAAGCTATGGAGGGGAGATGAGGGAGGAATGGGAAGCCAGCAAAAGAAACTAAGAAGAAACAGAGAAGTAGGACAACAGGACCGTGGTTGGAAGGAAAACGGCAGTTTCAAGATGGCAAGTCTGTGGAGAGACAGGAGAGGTAAGGACGGAGAAAAGACTTCTAGATTTGGAAGTGACCTTGGACAGAGAAGTCCACAGACTACTGGAGTGGAAGCACACTGTAATGGGGCACTTGTTAGGTTGGGACAGAAGCAAGGGAAGTATTAGGGCCCCTGGGCAAAGCTGGCTCTTACCCTCCCCATGACTTTTTCCAGGAAAGTGACAACTCACTCCCACAATAGTCAAAGCTTCCAGGACCAAGTGATCACACCTCCTTTCTTTACAAAGGAGCCAATTCTCTCTTATTATCAGGTTGGAATGGAGATGATAACCTCAGGCGCACATCTAGGGAATGTCCACATGGGTCTAGTCTCAATACTCCCACTGAGCCCAAGTGGCTAATGTGACTTTCTAAATAGAGAAGGAGCCAACTTTTTCACGCTGCAGCTTTCTCCCTGGTGGGGTTTCTATTCCCTCGCTGGAAGAAGTCCTATCTCCGCTGTGCACAGCACGTTCAAGCATATAAAGCTTAAAAGCTCAGATCTACGGTACAACTGCAGGAGAGCACAGCGTAAGTCATGTTTAGTTACAGCCGCAGGTAATTAATACAAACTTTTTGAGGGCGTAACATTTACAGAAGAGAAATGTGCCCTTCTTAAGAGAAGAAGACATGGAATGGTGGGAAAGCTGCCTCAGGCAGTCCTGACCTTACATCTCCCCAGAGGTAAAATTCCGAGTGTCTTTCCCTGATGACAAGTGATGTTGAACATTTTTTCATATGCCTGTTGGCCATTTGCATTTCCTCTTCAGAGAAGTTTCTTTTTAGCTCTTCTGCCCATTTTTTGACTGGAATTATTTTCTTTGTTGTTGTTGAGTCTCATCAGCTCTTTGCAGATTTTTGTGATCAGTCCTTTATCATTAGTGTTGGGTGCAAAAATGTTCTCCCAGTTGCTGGGGTTTCTCTTTGTTTTTGTTATTGTCTCTTTTGCTGTGCAGAAGCTCTTTAATTTAATGTAGTCCCAGCTGTTTATCTTTGCCTTCACTATCACTGCTTTGGGTGATGCAAATCAAAACTACCATGAGATACCATCTTACACCAGTGAGAATGGCACATATTAAAAAAACTAGCAACAACAAATGTTGGCGAGGGTGTGGAGAAAAAGGAACTCTTCTGCACTGTTGGTGGGAGTGCAAACTGGTCCAACCACTGTGGAAAGCTGTATGGAGATTTCTGGACCTACTAAACATAGAGCTTCCATATGATCCAGCAATTCCACTCCTAGGTATTTACCCAAAGGACACAGAAACATCAATTCCAAAGAACACCTGCACCCCTATGTTTATAGCAGCACTGTTTACAATAGCTAAGCTTTGGAAACAACCCAAATGCCCAAAAATAGATGACTGGATCAAGAAGATGTGGTACATATATACCATGGAATATTACTCAGCATTCAAAAAAGATAAACACATGCAATTTGCAGCAACATGGATGGCGCTGGAAGGGATCATGCTCAGCGAAATAAGCCAAAAAGAAAAAGAAAAATACCGGATGGTCTCACTCATAGCAGGAATCTAGAAAACTTAAATAAGGGACCAGGAAAATGAATAACTATAAGAAAGCGAAAATCAAAATCAACAAAAAACTATGAACCAGAGACACTCTATGGGGGGTGGGGGGCGGGAGGGGAGGGGTTGGGGTCAGAATGGGGGGGCTGCAATTGTATGGGGAATATAAAAATAAAATTTATTATTAAAAAGAAAAAAATTCCGAGTGTCACCCGCATGGGGTGCTCAATCTCTGCTCCCCTTGTGAAGGCTGCTGAAGCCTGAAATCAGTGAAAAGAAAGCTATAAGGCAGCTACTACTTTTTGAAGGAAATCAGGAAGTAAAGACAAAATGAGGACATTAGAGAGGCTGGAGGAGGGATGGGGCGAAAGTGGGGTGGGAGCCTCCCAGGAGCAAATATTCAGAAAGGAGAACAGGAACTGGGCTCCTGTTTCAGCAGCACCGCTGACAGTACTGGCCTGCAGGCGGCAGCTCTTGCCAGAGTTCTCGTACCCACCCAGGCAGACCTGCTGTGTGTGATTTATGAAAAGGGATTTGTTATTTTTCAGTGTGGCCCATTGGTTCTCAAGATTCATTAATCTTTGTATCACTCATCTGGGAGTGCTCAAATCTCAACAAAGCACGCTGAATAAGCCAAACGATCTCTTTCCTTTGCATTTTATTTTCTTTTATCACTTTTCAAGTGGAACCAGGCACAACTCTGTTGCAGGGTGTGCTAACACTCGGCCTAGTTTACCTCTGCCGTTTCTCCCACCGCCAGGATTATCATTTTTGGCTGCCTAATTAGAAAGAAACTGTGCTGTAACATTACCTCTCCCTCTGATTCGTATCTTCTTTTCTTCAACAGGTAAATAGAGACAGTGGTGGAAAATTATCCACTGGCAGTAGAGAAAGACTTTACTAAGGTCCTTTAAATATCAGAGGGGAGAGACATGTAGAAAAAGCATCTGAGTGGCAGCAGGAAGAACTCAAGTGGCAGAGAGATTACCTCCTCCTTGGACAAGACAGAAAGAAGGAAAGTGCAAAGCCCTCATAGATGTGTAAAAGCTCTTTCCCATGAGATCATTAAATAAGGGGGATCTAATCCATCTGATCACGTTTGAAGTTGCAATCACTGTTGGGTAGGAAAACAGCTTACTTCACAGAATTTACGAGAAACAAATGATAATGGTCCTTTTGACTTTGGTGGGGGGTAGAAAAGAGGGATTCACCTAAATCTAATTTGAGTAAACCTTCCAGAATCTGGACACACACACACACACACAGAAATGTTTGGAAGAAAAGACATCTTTGGATGATCTTGAATTTCTTCTTTTCTGAGTTTCATCAATACGAACATATTGTTAATTGGAAAAAAAAAAATTCTGTTTAAAAATCTTAGAAAGTTACCATTTTTTCCTTACTATAGGTTTTCATTAAATTTTCTTTATACTATTGGAGTCAATTTAGAACCCAGACCAAATCTAGAATCTAAGTTACCTAACGGATGAACTTCAAGCACAGATTTGCTGGATGTCTCTGGGACTTTGGTTGCTAAACAGCATGGTAAATTATTGATGATGTTTAAACACGAGAATGGCTTACCCAAGATACTGAGGAGGGTCACAATTAACTTTAGGGGGTTACACTAGACCTATGGTCTCAGTCAAAACACTTAAGTAATGGCAAATTAAGATACAGTATTTGTGTCTGTAACAAGACAACTAATTATGGCCATGTGGCTATGTGTCCATTCTCTCTAAAATAAAATTCTATCTTAGTAAATATCAAACAGCTGCTTTGAGGGATCTTTTGGATGTGAAAGGAACATGAAGAGTAGGTAAGCCCATCACAAGATCACATCCCAAACTCATCACAGAATTCAAACAACCCATTTTCTAGTTTATTTAATAAAACAAGGACTCAAAGTTCAATGCTGTAATATTTTCTGACTTTTTAACAGTTTTTTAGAAAGGAGTTTCTGTTTCCTTTCTGTAATTTTCCAAAAATCTATTCTAAACCTAAATCAGAAAAAAATACTGTTAAAAATAAAAGAATATATAAAAAACCCCAGCAAATCACATTCACCTGCCTTTATCGGAAAATTGGATTAGAAAGTACTTACCTCAGGGCTAAGGAATAACCAAGGAAATTTAGAGGCCTAAATGATTTTTAAATCTCCATATTAACAGATTACTCACCCAAACACCCAGCACTGTGTTCCTACGCGTTTGCACTGTGTGTCGGTGAGGTATGCATAATACTGTCTGAAAGAACAAAGGTGGAATTCATTGAGAGCTTCTGGAAGACCAACAAGTCAATATAGAATTAAATCACTTTTGAAAGAGCGGATATAAAAAATATCCTGCCTTGTCCCACACACTCAAGCTGCCTGGTCTAAGGGATGAGGAGGCCGGTGCCCACTGAAACATTCCTATAAGAAGTTAAGCATCTGAACCAGGGTAGAATGAGGGAACCAGATTTTAAGAGCCAGATTATTGGCACAGGGAGTCGTGATTCATGACAAACTCCCATAGTCTAGGGCCAAAGCAAGCTCAGGAGGGTACTTTAGTCTCCCTTTGTGGTGACAGAGAGTGTCATCTGCTCCGTCTGTGAGAAGACACCACCAGTGTCTGTCACTGGGCTCTCTCCAGGACAAAGATCATAACCTGGAGTAAACAATAAGTCTTCACTCAACATCACTGATAGGTTCTCAGAACTGTCACTTTAAGTGAAACAACATACCAAAAGTTGGTCCTCAAATAATGTTGCATTGTTTCACTTCAGGTAGGGCTGTTATTTCTCATTAACTACATAACAGTGTATGTGCATTGTTGGGTGTCACAAACCGGCATGGGACCCTAGTTGTTTCTCGATGCTGAATAGACTTTAAATGACTTTAAATGTTACTGACAACATCAGACAAAAGAGGCAATGAAGTGGATGTGATGTGAAGCACTCGCCCAAGGGCAATATAATATGAGCCACAAATACCATTTTAAGTTTCCCAGTAGTTGCTTGAAAAAAAAAGTAAAAGAAACAGAAAAAATTTCATCTTAATATTGAGAATGTATAATGAGATCTTTTATATTTTTGTGTACTGCGTCTTTAAAATCCAAATGTGGGCCTCCCCGGTGGCGCAGCGGTTGAGTGCTGGGTTGCAAAGCTGCCCGCAGCCTCTGCAGCGCCAGTTCGATTCCCAGCCACCGGACGAGGGTCCCACATGGAGCGCAGACCTCTCCTGCTGCCCGCTGCTCCCCTCAGCAGTGTATTTCATCAGTCTGCCTGTTCTGTTCCCTGCTCTGGCTCTGGTGAATTCTCTCACCCTCCCACGCTTCTGACTGTACCCAGTGCTTGTATAAATCACTAAATAAATCTTTTAAAAAAATAAATAAAATAAAATAAAATCCAAATGTATGTTTCAAGTATGTGGCACATTTCAACACAGACTGGCCACGTTTCTGTGCTCCAGAGCCACATATGTGGCAAATGGCTGTTGTATAGGACAGCACAGACTCAGAATCTCATGACTCCCCCAAAATATAATCTATCTCTCCAGAGGCAGCACCTGAAACCAGGAGTTCATCATATTTGGGGGCCAGAGAATCCTTTGAGGATTTGGTGAAAGCCATGATAAAGACATATGAAACGCGAGCACAATATTTTGCATTAAATTTCAGTCCACAGAGGCAGCTCATTCAAGAAGTATTGCCTCCTCACCCTAAAGGTCCGAGGACAGAATTCTCCTTGTAAAGACTTCAGGCTTACCTCTAACCTCACATATATACTACCTAATTTGCTTTTACCAGTTTATCGACTTTACCCTCTACTTATATCCAACCCCTTATACTGCACTTTATCTTATCAGGTTAAAAGAATGTTCACTCAAACATTTTCTCAAAGCAGAAGAGCCAAATCAAAAAGGAAGAAAATAGAAATACGGTGAGTGTGATGCATCCCAAAGCCTATAAGTGTTTTCTGCTCATGGAGCTTGGAATGTGCTGCCGGGGATGTCTGCGCTAACACCACAGGAGCCCTCCCACCATCCAAACAGCTTGTAAGAGTATCTCCTTACTGGGAGCTGCCTCAGCATTGCAAAAAAAAAAAAAAAAAAAGGGGGGGGGCTGATTTTTAAGCAAAAAAGGATCATATGCATATCCACAGGGTTTAGAAAAAATGTAGCAAAAGCAAAACTAAAATTGTATTTTAGTTTTGTGGTACAATGTTTGACATGTTTCTGTGCTCCAGAGCCATATACGTGGCAAGTTGCTATTATATAGAACTGCGCAGACTCAACCTCATGACTCCCCCAAATCATAATCCATCCCTCCAGAGGCAGCACCTAAACTGGTTGCTTTTCATATTTGGGGGTCGGAGAATCCTGACCACACCGAAATTCCATGATAAATCAGCTAAGATCTGCATTCTGTTTTATAAAAAACAGCATCTTCCCCTTTGTACTGACTTTGTTGGTTGCTCCTAATTTTCTGAAGGAACTGCTTGCTGTTCATCTTTTCTGAAAACAATCATGAGCCTCAAAATTAAATTTTAGATGATGGAGGCAGGTTCTGGGGGGAAACAGGTGAAGGGGGTTGTGGGGTGGGGAACAGCACTTAGGAGGTTACCACTTCAATGACCCCAACCTAGGAAGTGTGAAAGGGTTGCCTGCATCCCAACTGTTAATATTCCTATTTGGTTCATGATAAAAAGAGATGGGATTGTGGGCCTTAACTCTACAGGACTCAGCTGTGTTTCATTTAGTTTATTCAATCCATGATCTGGGGATATGTACATAGGTATATGTTTGTAATAATGATTGATGACAAGAGGAGGTGTTGGTTGGAGTAGGGGGGTCAGTTTGACCAAGAGGAATAGCCACATCCCTTGGTAAGTGAGACCCTCATGTGACTGTTTTGCAAATGTGTGGAAAATGATGAATTAAGTTATCCTACAGCTTCTGAAAAGTTAACCCTTTTAACTGCTTCGCTTATATTTGTATCAACTGTGCAGAGATCTTTGGTGTTGCTACTGATCAATGCTGGAACTCTGTACTAGTTATAAAACCCAAGTGCTATTTCTAAACAGGAAAAATGAGAATGTTTCCCTTGGCAGATCACTGAGAGCTGATGTGAGGGATGGTCTCTAACAATGCCTCATCTCTGGGGCCCAATAGAATCCCAGGAGTACCAGCACAAACACCAGAGCTTATCTCAGCTGCTCAGTCCTGGTGGATTACAGGAAGGGGCTTCTGAAAAGGAAATGACCACTGGGAAGACTCTTAGTTGTCTGTACCTGGTTTCATCTGGACTACGCCCCACATGCCTTTTCCCATTGTTGATTTTGTCTTGTATCCTTTCACTGTAATAAATCATAGCCATAAGCACAACTAGAAACAAATTTTAAAAATAAAAGGAAATGAACTTATTTGTTCTAAAGGAGCTAATAAAGTCTTATTCTAAAAATAACACCACTTAGGACTTCAGATCCACCATATACTCTTCTGTATTTTCCTATAATCTCATTTTGAAAAACTGGCATCACTGCTGCTCATTCTTTTTGAAATGGGATATCACAAGACAGAAAAAAAAAAAAGGAAGAAAGAAAGAAAGAAAAAAGAACCGCAGCAGTGGAGACTGTAAAAATGGTTTGAAAACAATCAAGTGCTGTTTGTTCACATCATTTTACTGAGGTCTGGGAATAAAATATTTACTTCATATTTCAGATGTATAGTTCCTTAAAATGGTATTTTCATGGAAAACATGCTCATTCATGGAAATTAACTAGCAGAACAATGTAAATAAAGCAGGCGCTGTGCTCAGGGACAGCCAGGTGTGTACAAAGTTACCTCACTGTGGGAGCCGTGATGCAGCCAATAAAGAGGATCCTACACCAGCTTAATGGATGACTGGCTTGGAACACAAAGATGTGTTTCAGGAAGAAGGTGTTCAACTCGGTCAGCTGAAAAAGAAGGGGACATTAGTCAGTTCGATCCTTTGTGCTAACTCATAATCATAGATTTCTTAATTGGACATTTTACAGCTAAAAATAACTGGAATGTGCAAAGCATCTTCAGAACTCTCCGGGGTCTTCCGAGGGTTGCTATTCAAACTAGGTAACAGCCAGTGCAATATGGACACCAACCAGCCAGGGGTGCAGAGAGAGTTGCTGGAGTGGTAAGAGGGGCATGTATGGGCATCAGCTATTTGGCCAAGTTTCCAGGTTTGTGTGACTGTCCCTTGGGTCACGTGGGTGATTTGTTGGGACAGTAAGGAGAGAGATGCTTTGAGGACAGCAAAAATTATGAAAACAATTACATGCCATGGAGCACCTATGCAGTCTCACAGAAATCAGGCCAGGTCTGCAGGAAGTTTGATTGCAGGAAAGTAAGCTCTTTGATAACCAAAAGAAGCATGAGATACATCACTGAGAGATGATATGGACTCCTCCAGAACATGCCAGGGACCGAGTAAATCCAAAATGAAAGGGAGCTCTGAAGACTGAAAGGTCAGCCCCCAAGTTTCACCCAGGGGTAGGGGTGCTTCCCCTCTGAGGTTAGAGGTTAGCATGCTGGCACAGCGCGTCAGATGACCAGTCTTCACTGAGCTCCTACACATTGCCCGCAGGGGGATTAGCTGCAGCACAACTCTAAGAACCAAACACTGATTTGGGAACATAAGAAAAAAACACCTCATTTGTTTCTTTGATCATTCTGGAAAGCAACCTAATGCCTGACTCACTGGATGATAGATGCTGACCAACAGCTTTTCACAGGGAATTTTAATGTTTTTAATTTATAATTCTAAGATCTATATTTTCTAAGGCCTTTATAAAGAAGCAAAACTTTAGGTACAACAAATATACTTTGTCCCGATTAGTCTACATGTCAACTGCAGAATATTAGATCATCTAAAGTAGCAAGCTGGTAATAATGTCAACTAATAGTAACCTTGAATTCCTGGATGGTTTTTATCTTTTTTTTCCCCTGCCCCCAGTTTTGGGCATCTGAAAAAAATACCTGCCAGATGATCATGAAAAGGTATACTCCAGCTACTCTCTGAAATGAAGATTTGGGATCAAACCATCGAACATAGGTCCAGCTAGCAGGAGTGAACTGGAGCACAGCTCGCTTGATTTTCCCGGTGGTGGTGTGGATGTCCCTGTAAGAGGAAATGGCACCAGTGAAAATCCAAAGACAGAAGGAAGAGAAAGGGAAAACAACCTCAAAACAAGAAAAAACTGAGTATTGACATTATAACAAATAATCAAAACAGAAAGATTCTTTTCTATTTGAACTATCTCCAACATGGTCTCTATTCACCGCAGCAGTGGCGCACTCGACTTCCAGAGGTTTTGGGAATGACCCACCATTCCGCAGGGCAGGTGAGTGGAGAGCCAGGAGAGGCCTGGGATTTGGAAACTGGTGACAAAAGAAGCTGAGAGGCATTAAATACAACCACTGGCACCTGGCAGGGAAGACTGAATTATAAGCAGGACATGGTTCTATCCTTTTCCCCTCCCAAGTCGGGGTGCAGTAGTAACGCAATCATATTGTTGAGCCCCACATTTTACAGATGAGGACAGTGAGGCTCAGGCATGGGCTCTCCAGGTAAGCATCAGAGCTGGGTGCAGATTTGAGGCCCCTCATGCCAGTCTGGGAGGGCTAACTTGAAGGCAAAGAGCATTTCCTAACTGATAAAGATTTTTTTTTAATATTTTTTTTTTTTTTTTAATAGAGGCATGCTTTATTTATTTATTTATTTATTTTTGTTTGTTTGTTTTGTTTATACATGCACTGGGTACAGTCAGAAGCACGGGAGGGTGTGATAAAGATTTTTTAATTCAACAGTTTTATATCAATGGCTTTCATGTTTCAAACACAGTAGAGTGTTGAAAGCACAAGGACAAACAGGCCCTCAGGCCTTGGAACCAGATTTGATCCTTCATTCCACACCAACCCAACAATGAATGGGATTTTTTTTGTTTATTAGTTGGGCTTACATTTTGGTAAACTGCAAGAGTGATTTTCATATCAAATTTGAAGCACAAATGTATGAAAATGGGAAGCATATGGCAATGTTTGAGGAGCCAGAAAGCAGACTCAGCTGCTTGTTAGCTAGCTGTCCTCAGGCAAATTACTAAACCAAGTCTCAGGATCATCATCCCTGAAATGAAGAGATCAGTGTCTACCCTTAGGATTGATGTAAGGCCCAGATGTGATACTGCTTATAAACCTTGCTTGGAGCAATCCCAACGCAGCTACAATTTTGGTTATATTATACTGCCTTAAATATATTTAAAAATACATATATACACATATATATTAAAAAGTGTCCTTTCAACTCAGTGGTCAAAGAAAGGATTATTTAATAAAAGCAATGGGGAAAATCAGTCAATCAACTGCAAAACCATTGTGAAATCTTCCCCTCATACCATATACCGAAATAAGTTTAAGAGAGATTAAAGAAGTTACTAATGCAAGTTAACATTTACCGACACAAAAATGTTTGAAGTTTAAATGGAAAACCTACCACAAACAAAATTAGAGATGACAAAATGGAAAATAAAGTCACATTTATGACAAAGTGTTAGCATCCTTAATCTATAAAAAGCACTAATAAAAGGAAAAATCCAGTAGAAATTCAGTATCATAATATTGTGTGACAAAACTGACAAAGGTTTAAAATAAAAAACAATGAAATGAACACAGACACTAGGGTACAGGTGAGAATATAAATTGATATAGTTTCTTCAAGTATTTATTTACAATACAAAGTCAGAAAGCACACCAATATATACGGTTGAGAGTGTTCTCTAGCTCGCGTCATAAAACTGAAAACTCTGGCACACTAAATGACCATAAAAGGGAGGTGGTCAAGTACTTTATGGTTTCTTCATATATTAAGATATGAAGAAGTCCTGTAGAAATACATTTTTAGAAGAATATTTAATGGGAGAAAAATGTTTCATGTTGCTACCATTGATCCTCTCCTCCTGATCAATGGCCTGATCCATTTCACAGTCAAATGGAGCTGATTCAGTGAAGCTGGACAGAACAGGTATGCACTGCCCTCCTTGGAGGCTCAAGCATGGTAAACTAAAAAATCAGAGACAACTAAATACTTGAGAAGACAAATGAGCTGAGTCAGAAAAGGATTGGTCAGCCTGGCCCCCAAGAACAGGGGTCAAACCAGGCACACAGAAGTACATGTGTGAGCTCAGGACCATGGGGTCCTCTGGAAAGGGACCTCACCTGCCAAGCCTGGGATGCACTCTTGGTCCTAAATGGAATGCCATGATGAATGTGATGTTTTCAGTAAGACCACTCAAGTCACTCAAACTGGGAGGAGCTTACCTGGGGACAGGGGACTAATTAATTGTGTGATGCAGTCTGGATGCAGGCTGAGACATTAGGGTAAAAAGAAGTGGTATGGATTTGAGAAATATTTTAGCATGATGAGGGTGCCAGGATGCTCTAAAAATTCAAAGTAAGAAAGAAAAAAACTGTGACTGGTTTGGCATTTTATGAATGAATGGTTGAAATCAGGCTCAATTATTTATGAGTTTCAGTTACTAATATGTAATTCATTCCGTATCATCAAAGGCTGTACTAAAATCGTACTGATGAAAGCAGAGAAATAAGATTTTGAGAAACTGTGACGAATATCCAGAAAGAAGACAACTCACTTGAAGCTTGCCCAGTGGTAAGTCCTCATCTCTAAGAACCGGCAAACAACCATGCCCAACCAGATGCCACCGCCATTGCACAAGAGGATGTCCAGGATGACTTGATCCCACCAGCATTCGGCAAAATTGGGCAGAAGATGCATGAAGAAAAGCTGAGAAACACAAAAGAAGGTTGTAAAAAAAAATGGGTAACAGACTGAAAGCTCAATTTCTTTTTAATAATACACATTGTTTTAGGAAAAGTTGCTGACATTTCAGTTTTTCCATGTGTCTAAAAAATCAGGGTCTATAATCCTGTTCTTGGGTTTTATATTATGGATGGTATACAAATACTACAAAGTGAAACACCTCTTCTTTTTTGATATAGAACTTTATAGACATGATGGCCACTCTTGAAAAATACTACCAATGAATTACCTAATGGCATGACAAGGACACAGAAGGGGGAAAGGAAGAAAGTTTTCAAATCTGATAATAAAGCATTGCCATAATCCTCAAATTAGCAGTTCGGACATTCAAAATGTGTATTTCAGAAACATTCCATGGATATTTAAATAAAACAATGAGTATACTATAAAAGTAGAAAGGTTGGATCTTGATGACATGGAGGAAACTGATAGCTTCACAGAAAAAGCTCGCATTAATTGATTCACAATAAAGATGATCTTTTACGTATTAAGGGACTATGATGTGCATGATGGTGTGACCAACTGAAGTCAAGGTTCTTAATCTCATGGCAGGAATCAGATATTTGTTCAGAACCAGAAAATAAGGTTGGTGGGGCCTCCCTGGTGGCGCAGCGGGTTGAGCACAGCGTTGTGAAGCTGTCCACAGCCTCTGTAGTGTGAGTTCAATTCCCAGCCGGCCAGGGAGATACCTACATGGCATGGCAGACCTCTCCTGTCTCTCCCGCTGCTCCCCTCAGCAGTGTCTTCTATCTGTCTGCCTGTTCTGTTCCCCAATCTGTCTCTGGTGATTTCTCTAACCCTCCCATGCCTCTGGCCTGTACCCTAGTTCTTATATAAATAAAAATAAATCTTTAAAAACAAAAGAAGAAAAGAAAAGAAATGAAACAAAAAGAAAAGAAAAGAAAAAAGAAAAGAAAAGAGAAGGTAGGTGGAGGTAAGTGTGTTACAACAGTGACATAAATGGAACACGGCAGGGACAAAAGAGAGACTCATCCGACAGATGGGCATTGAAGAAGGCTCTGGAAGGAAGAAATATTGGAATGAGCAGGGACAATGAGAAAAGGAATGACTGATTTCGAGAGATGGAGATGAGGGCAAGGGGGAACAAGAAGAGCAAGGGTGGAGCAATGATCTCTTAGGGAAGTTGTGTGCAAAACCAAAGGTGTGTGGATGTTGTGCACAAAACCAAGGGTTGGAGGCTGTGCCCATAACATGCTCCACTGGGTGAGGATCCACTTAAAGGAGAACTGAAATTGCAAAGACAATGCCTAGAAGACGCAAGCCCATAATTACAAACCTCTGAACTAATTAATAGTTACTACAAAATAGTATTTACTACAAAATAAAACTATTCATGAAAGTATTTTGTAGCCTACACAACAATACAAATATGAGGAATATCCCTTCTCAATGAGCCTGTTGCCGAGAATGTGATGGCTGGTGGCTGCATTCTTACCCAGGAGGAGGGCCTGGTACTACCCCTAAAGGACATTCTAGGTTTCAATGCCATGAGGTGGAGCATTAACTCTTGCCCTTACAAAGGGAAGAGAAACTTCAGCAGGAGCAATGACACATATTTCCTGAAACAAAACTATGCAGGGGAGAGGAAAGTGCAGTCATACTTGAACCTGAGGAGCTTTCCAGATTCTGGGGGTGAGATGGACCCAGGAGAGACTTGGATCGGTTACAGGATCTGGAGGGGTCACACTCACTCATTCCTGAGGGATCCAGGGGGTATCTGCATGTGTGAGGCAGAGTGCTGGGGTCTGGAAATATGCAGACATGGACACTGCCCTCAAGAGGCATAAAAGCAACATATAAGTATCTAAAATATGAGGCACACTTTGTCCAGGTGCAAAAATAGAGAGCACAACTGACGGAGGAGCTGGGAGGAGAGGCTCACACTACAATGGTGTACCACTTTCTAGGGGACAGTTTAAACAGTGTTGCATCGCAGGAGCGGGAGGATGGTTACCTGGCTGTTAACTGACAGACTGTCTTTTTCCTACATGAAAGCTGTCCACACCATAGAGTCTAGAAAATGGCATGCACTCCCCTTCTTACCTCAGTTAACTCCCAGGTAATACTGATTGTCCAGCAGAGACCATAACTACGGATCAACAAGGCCTTCATGGCCCAGCCCCAGAAATGTCCAAATGCAAATATATCAAAATGGCTGATAATCCTCTCCCAGGTGATAACATGGCAGTTCACTGCATAATCCTGTTAAAATAAAATGGGAAATAATTATTGATACTTTAGGAACCAAAATTGCTGCCAGGATTATGACAGCAATAGACTGGCCATGGAAAGAGCACTCATGAAAAGAACTGATGCAACCTGTTTATTAAAAGTTTTAATGACTTAAGATTCTGGAGGAATAACAGGCAATTATTAGAGTTTACAAGTCAGAATTGCTTTGCGTGATATTGTAAAAACTAGGTTAAAATGGGAAGCATAAGAATTTTATCAAGACATAATGTCTAACAAGTGGGATCACATAGCCCATATGATCTGACCATGGCAATGGTGTTAAATCTAGAAACAAAACAATAGAACAAATAGAAACCTAATAAAAAAAATCATAGAATCAATAACCTTGGAAATTTAAAAACATTCAAATATCATGGATAATAAAAGTTTAAAATATATTCTGTAGAAAATAATAATGAAAATACCGTATATCAACACTGACAGGATGGAGTTAAACAGAACTTAAGAGAATATCATAAAGCCTTAAATGCCTATATTAAAAAAAAAAAGGCTGAAGTAGCCAACTTCAGAAATTAGAAGAAAACAGAATAATCCCCCACCCTAAAAATGTAACAATTATTAAACAGTATTAAAAATTAAAAAAATCACAAAGCTTGTAATTTTACATTACAAAGACGGGTTCCATTTCTAATCTTTTTGTTATTTCATAAGACATTTTTATGTAAGTTTAAACAGACATCCTTGTATGTCTCTGTTATGACAGCAGTTATATCATATGACAACACAGCACTTCCTCCACATTTCATTTTTCTTCCCCAGATTACTCTGATAGGAAGAAGGATGATCTGGAAAAGAGCCACCTGTTATCATCCTGCGGAAAGAATTTCAATAAAGTGTACCATTTCAAATTTCTAGGACTGACACTCTCTGAGGGAGTGACAGAGCAGGCTGGTACTCCTCTATCTCTCTGACACCCACCGGGTCAGATTTCTTAAGCCTTCCTAAGGTCAAATGCATTTCACTTTGCAAAGCTGACAGGGCATTTTTAAAAACTGTATTTTCTCCTGAATTACTGTGATGTGGTATTATGATGTGTAATATGAAAGTCTAGAAAAAAAGAGGGAACATTCAACAGGGGTAGGTCAAGCTAGGCTTTAAAAAACCCAAATCTTACTGCTCTAACTATGATGAAAATTCTCTTTCCAGGTTCTGGAACATGTACCGATCACAGGCAGTCACAGATCATAGAGAAAAATAGCTTTGGGCGAGAGCAGTTAAATGTTAGGTGAAGATCGCTGCAAAGCCCCATCGACCCCAAATTTCTCAGCCGTTTATCCTCTTATTTGCTCTGGAACACACTGCTTAGGTCAGATAAGAAAAGGCTGAGTTCTATTTTCAGAAGGCTGCCTTTAAAGTAATCATTGGTTGAAGATGACTGTGGAGGCCTTTCTACTCTCTATTAGAGTATTTTTGTGCTTCAACACAGGGAAATGCACTTTGAAAATCATAAACACCAAATGTGTCTATTGGCATTATAATTACTAATAAAAAGGTCTGTCCTTTTTCACATTTGTAAGACCCCAGCTTCTGGTACTAGAAGGGACACAGAATGCCACAGTTTCACAATCAGGAGTCACATGCAGTCACAGGCCTGGGAAGCAGGAGGAAGGGGAGTTAAATGAAGACATCCGAGAGCCAGGGCCTGCACAAGCAGTCAAGGGGAGAGGTGTGCAAGGGCTTAAGTCAGGACAAATTCTTCCTGCCTTCCAGCTGGGCTGAGGGCAGATCCTGGTGGCTCCACCCTCTTCCTTTCTTGCCTAACACTTAACCCGACACCAAGTCACATTCATTTCCCCTCCCCAGGTTTTTCTTCATCTCACCACCACCATGAGTTTGCAATATATGCTATATGTATAAGCATGTACAGCACCACCTGCGAAGTAGTCCTGCCATAGAGCCCAACTGGAATCTGGACTCCAACCCAGTCTCTACATCTCTTTCCCAGCTGACAGGAAATATAGGGGCACAGAGAGAAGATTAAATGACACCCTGCTAATGCAGACTGCAAAATCCTAACATGAGAAACTATAAAATAAACAATGCAGCCTTTGGCAAAGTTCAAGGTGAAAAAAGGTAGAGCAGGACTACAAGTTAAAAGATTAAGAGCTGCATCAGATGCAGACTGTGGGCCTCTCTGGATCCTGCTCTGAACAAATGAACTGTAAGAGCCTTTAGGAGGTGACTGTAAATGTCAACGCAGCATACTGTCAACTATTAAGCCACTGAAGATAGCATTATGGTTATATACTTTTTAGAAAAAGTCCATATATCTGTTACAATGTCTTAGACCCATTTCAAATAATGTAAGATGTAAGAGGTAAATGAAAGAAGATTGAACATGAGTTGATAACATTTTTAAAAAACTGTTGTTGTTTTAGAGTATAAGAAAAAGAGCCAACAAATACATTTATTTGCCCTCTTGTGAATCTAAGCTCTCAGGAGGACAGGCAGAGTGCCCCCTCCCTTCCTTGCCCCACCACCGCTGCAGGGTGCCTAGACCGAGGAAAGCTCAGTGAATAGTTACTAAACCAAAGCCTGCTACTTCCCACAACCCAAATAACAAATGAGATGGGCTCTGAAAGCTTGTCTGAAGCTTAGAATACATTAGTATCAAAAAGAATGAATTTTTAGAAGAATAGCAAACATTTCAGACAATTACATAAAAACTGCCTCTAATAGGATGTCAGTGACCCTGATCCCAATTTACATTAACTCTAAAGGAGAGGAATCTGAATTTCACTGTGCAACGCCAAGAAGGGACTAGAGGCTGTCAAGATTAGGAGCTGATGGCAGAGCCACAGGCAGGGTGAGAGCACATGGCCCTGGGAACCAGTGAATTACAGACCTGCTGTCTGTGCAAAGGTGTTCTCATTACCACAAATTCTGTAACAGGGACGGTATTTTTCTAGATCTGTCAGTGATCAGGTTCTCAGAGCCGTGAATGAGGACCGTGAATGAGGAAGAATAAAGTGATGAGGGATCAGAGCTGGAGATGCCAGGCTGTCCCCTCACACCAGCTAGACTCTAGCATTTAAAGACAGCCTCCCACTTGACAGGAAAGAATCAAACCAGTTTGATTGGCTCAGGGCCAGTTTCAACTGCTTGGAGGTCATAAATATGACCTGCGCATGGCCCCATGATGTCAAATTCTGAAGGAAGTTAGTTGTCAAAACTAGCATGATGAGATTCAATGTCCTGCGAGAGAACCAGATTAAAGGGAATCTACCTGACAAGATAGTTTGTTTCATAATATGACCAATTTGCTCAAAAAATCCATGAATATTGTGGGGGGAATATTAGCTAGGATAGCTTTCTACCAGTTTCTATTTCATAAAGCTCCTGTGAGCATCAAAGCACTTATTATTTTCCAAAATATATGATTGGAGCACAGTCCAAAGGACAAGAATAGGTTTTAAAACCAGAGGGAGCCTCCCAGTTTGGGCTTTGAGTGAACCACATATCCATTTTAACTGTCTATTTCCTCCTTGGTAAAGTGAGGACAGTGATGCCTAGCAAGCAGGTGTGAGGCTTAACAGGCTGGCACATATAAAATGCCCAGCATGGAGCCTGGCAGAGCAGACAATCCATAATCTGTAACTGCCCAAACTATAACCCTCATCACTAGGGGCTGCAGGTCATCCTGTACCATCTGCATCATTACAGCAAGAAACCCTGAAGCAGACTTTTCTGCCTGAGACTTTTACATACTGTTGCCTTTTGTATGTCCTTTATAAAAGATGAAGTCTGGAAACCATGCCAAGAAGGTTTCTACGTTCTACCCATCTCAACTAGGGTAGAATGCTTACTTCTTGGACTTTCTTTAAGTCCCTTCATGTTGTTTCTTGTTCTTGTTTCTTCAAAGCAAACCTGCCTGTGGCCCAAAGGCCTATCTTTTTTTTGCAGCATCATTAGGTTTTTCTTCAACAAGTACCACATGTTTTGCATTTGGGGGTAAAAGAACAAAACTGAAGTATAAAACAGTTTCTTCATAAAACACAAAATATGGAATAGTTTTCACCAAGAATAAAATTTGTAGTTTAATAAAAATAATGAATGTAATGGCTGCAATTATTGGCAATTCATGGCAAGCAAGTGGGGAGGATCATGTTGTCAGGGCTGGTATGAGGGAGTGGAGCAGCCACTGTGACTGAGAGCAGCCACTGTGACTGAAGACCCAGTGTACACAAGCCACCAGGCCAGCCTCGGAGACAACACTCCTTCCTTTAGCTCACAATCAGCTCCCAAAACAAATACCATCTTACTTCATGCAACAGGAAACAAGCTAACAAGTATGTTGCCCACATTCATACAGCCAACAGGAGACAGAGGGAGAATTCCCTCCCAAGGCTGTCTGATGATAATGTCACTCTCTTCCCACATCCCTGCTGGCTCTACGAGAGAATTTCCCTGGACTGCTACCACACTCATGGAAAGCAGGCACCCCACCCCACCAACCTGCCCAAAGATACTTATATGGGAAATACAGAGGAAGGATAAGTTTAGAATGTAAAGCAACTACTTCCTATACCCAAGAGCCTACTGATTTATCTAAGAGACCACCGCCAGTACCTACCATGACATCAGCTTCCCTGGTGGCATATCGAAGATTTGGGTCTAGCCAATACATTAGGGATTTGACCTGCTCGAAGTTCAGGAAGAGGAGAAATACCAGGAACAGGAAGTAGAGCACACTGAGTCCTATAAGAAATAAAAACACACTCAATTTAGCAGAGATCCAAGCCAGGCACAGATACAGACTCAAATCACTATTTGCCAAGCAGAATGGTATTATAATTCAGTGCATTGAGACAATGATTATAATCCAGCATTGTCTGATGCACAGCCCTACCTCAAACTAAGAGGGGTCAGAAACACTCCAAGAAAATGATGCTTAAGCTGAGACTTGAAAGTGCTTCAGACAAAGGGTGTGTAGGTGGGAATGGAGAAGTGGCTACAACATGCAGGTGGGTCCCTGGAAAAAGAACCATCTAGAACCTGGCATGTGACATGGTGGGGGGAGGGTGCCACAAAAAGAGAAATAGAGCAGGGTGTCACTAAAGAAACAGCCAGGGCTTGGGGGTCATGCCAGATCTCAGATTTTATCTTAAGTGGAAAGAGGAGCACCTGATGGATTTCAAATGGGGTGGGGGCTGGGGGAAGAAGATGACCTAGGTAACATTTCATGAAGTTGACTCTGATTGCTAGGAGGACATCCTAGGAGTGAGTGACAGGTGCGAGGTGTGAGGTAGCTCAAGGCCGCTTAGCCATGTCTTACACTCCATGTTAAGTAAGCCCTTGCAGGTATTAAATTACTGCCACATAGCATAACTGATATTCTACTAACCCCCCATTGCATTAAAAAAAAAGTCAATGGTCTACTTTAAGAAAGCAAGTCTGTAAATATACTTTAGAACGATTTGAAAAATCAACCACCATTGACTGTCACCTTTCTTTCTGTGGAACCTGCTAGAAATAAGATGTTTCTATAGGACATCTAGACACTGATACAAATGACTTTGGATTATTGCATCCCATCCAGACCTGGCTCAGGACTCATCTCCAATGAACTGCTCTAAGGAAAGAATGTCTATGGCTGGAGAAAACCCTCCATACCATACACAGCTCCAGATCTTCCAGTAGGACCCCCCTCCTAGGCCTCAGGGGGCCAAGGGGAGGCTGGAGAGCAGCACAGCCATCCAATCCTGCGTCCCAGAGCCTACCTAGGGAGCACACACTTTTGGTCTGTTGGTATGATAACCAATTCTGACTTGCACTTATCGGTCTATTTTTATGAATTTCACACCAAATGCCTCTTCCTTTCAAAATCATTATTTTAGAACAGAAAGGGAACATGTATGGAGCAGGGTTTCTGCAGCCTCAAGGACAGCACAGTGGCAGCAACACACCTGCAGCACAAATGCAGACAAGTACCCAATGAATTCAAAGAGATTTGCCTATGAGCTCTCAAGGGTAAAAGAAAAAAAGACAACCTTGAGTGAAATATCTATTTTTAGGGAGCTGGTTGCATAAGATTACATTTTCTGAACCTAAAATAATTTATTTGATGTTTTATTTAGGCATGATAAGGCCAATATGTGAAGTTTTGAAGATCTATTTTAAATCTATTCAGGTGATTTAGCCATTTGGACTAGAAATCAAGTAAAAATAAGACATGTACTATCTATTTAAGATCCTTATCACTAAACCTTCATCCAAATCGGGCTCTTTGTCTGGAGACGTCCTCCCCTGTTCATAACACCGAGGAGTTGGCTGGGTTTTCAGTCCCTCCCAGAGGCCAAGACAAAACACGTTCAGGGACACACTTGACTTGCATCAGCAAATAGCAACATAAAGATGCATAATAAAAAACAAGCTACATTCCCTTCAAATCCTGTAACATTTAGAGACAGCAGCGTAGAACCCAGCAAGTGGAGGTGGAACAGTTCACATGTTTGCAATTTAAGTTATCACCAGTACTTTGTGTGTATGAGTATGTATCAAGGAATTTTAATAAAAAACTTACATTAGGGACACCAAAAGTAAAAAGCTTTATTCAAGTTTTACCATAGAGTGCTAAGCAAAACTGATAGAATGATATGCAGAAACGGATTTTTAAAAATACATTTTTAAATGTACGAATGGGTCACTCACCAAAAACCATTCGCCATAAGGCTGGATGAGGTCGGGTAAATGGACCTGCAGAGAGAACATTAGACGGTTAGTGAGGACTGGTTCAGAGACTAAAACTGAAGTGCCTGCTGCTGATCTCTGTAGAGAGGAACAATAACAAACAGGGAGGGGGGAGGCTTTTATTCCACATAAATACTTTGAGGTCAAAGTCTAGGTTGAAATATTTTATCCACATTATAACAATGTCCTCACAACTGTAACAGGCACCCAACAGAGGGTTTTCTTTCTTTCTTTCTTGTTTGTTTGTTTATTTATTTATTTATACAAGCACTGGGCACAGTCAGAAGCACGGGAGGGTGAGAGAATTCACCAGAGCCAGAGCGGGGAGCAGAGCAGGCAGAAGGACCGAAGTACACTGCTGAGGGGAGCAGCGGGCGGCAGGAGAGGTCTGCGTGCCATGTGGGACCCTCCTCCAGTGGCCGGGGAGCAGCTGGGGATTGAACTGGCGCTGCAGAGACTTCGCAACCCAGCGCTCAACCGCTGCGCCACCAGGGAGGCCCTTTTTTCTTTTTTTTTTTTTTTATAAGTTTTATCTTTAGAACTCAGACCAGAATTTCCCATGGGAACAATGTTCTAACAGTAAATAGGTTACCAGGCTATCCTTAAGTGTATCTGATATATACTGCACCTTAACAAGTGACATCTTGAAGTGGGGGAGAGGCGAGGGGAGAGAGAGAGGTGTTAAAGAGAGGAGAGTATGTGTGTGTAAGAGAGAGCAGGATAGACAGAGAGACCAAGTCTAAAAATGAGAGAGAGAGAGAGATACCGTGTTCTGGAAATAAGTAGGAGGGGAGTGAGACCTGACAACAACCCTGGGGCACTGGAATAGGCCAGTGCAGTGTTTTGATCAGGACCTGTGGCTGACAAAAAATACCTTTCAGTGGCAACCGAGTTTAGATACAGAGACGTTGATTCCACTCAATGGAAACTTAAGTTTCACAGGATGAACAACCTCTAACTGTAAGTGCTGAGCCAATCCTTTCTCTTCTATTTCATTAAAAAAAAAAAAAAAAGTAGAAGAAAGAAGCAAACAAGCAAGCAAGCTGGGCTTTAATCTACTCAATGGATTTACCACCAACTGAAAGGTCATAAGTGGCAAATACTGAACACTGCTCTAGTGGGCATCTGACCTGGTTGGGGCTGCCCACACCTTTGGAATCTGAGAGGCCAGAACTTGTTGCCCTACCTTCAAGGGCTTGGTCCTTCAGACTTGACCTCAGGCTACTGACAGTAAAGAAAGCACACAAAGCTCTTCTTCCTCCCACTCTCCTTCCCTCTCTCTAGTCCCGGTCAGCAGGGATAGTCTGGGGAGGTGGCACTGGTGCTGGCAGCAGTGGCAGCTCTATTAAGACTTTGCAGCAGAAGTGACAAAGGGACAGACTACAGCAAATGCTGACTGGGTCTCTTCATTAGACCGATCCTGGGTGACCTGGCAGCTCCTGCTACCAGCTTAGCCTGGGACCTAGCTTCCTAGCCTTCCTTGCTTCTGCAAGTCAAACAATATCCTTGAACAGGTTTTTAATTAGCAGAGTCAGCTTCTATTGCTTGCAATCTGGAATCCTGCCTGAAGCAAACATTATATTATAATTTTCGTTCTGGAACTCATTCTAAAATAGCCCTTGTCTTCCTAAAAAGACTACACTGAAACATATTTTAACTGCTTTCTTTTGGAGAATCAAGTTCATATTTAGGAGAGCAGTCCTCACACATACCCTCCTCACACACACACACACACACACACACACACACACACACACACCCCACCACCACAAGTGAAATCTATTCAGTTCCTAAGTTTAGGTGGTAGAAAGTGAGTTAGGTTCACCAGGAACTCTTGCTTTATACAAATTAATTTGGTCTCTGAGTTTTAGATGGTTAAGTAGTGGGCAGCCAGACAGCGTGGGGGTATATCAAAAAGTTTATCTAAATCTGTTTAATTTCTGAATTCTCAGAGCAAAGGCTCAGAAGGTGAGGAATCATCTACATATTTTTTTCTATCAACTGCTTCTCCCTCAGAAAAGCACAGTGAAACATAGAAACCAGAATCCCCTTTCAGGTAACATAACATGGTTAACTTTCTCCAAGTCACTGGAAAACTGATGGCTAAAATCGTTGTCTTTTAAGTAATCTTCACTTCCAAAAGATCTTCACCGAATTTTGGTTCATGGTTCTTGCCTCGTCATCAAGAATGACAGCTGTATACTATGGCCTGGTTACAAGTATTACTTCATCCAAACCACTGAATTAATCTTTCAGACACAACATGGGACCCCAGTCTTCTTATAAAGGAGTTTGAAATTTGATAAAATTTTATCACCTTTTATTTGGCTTATAACAGAACTTCATGCCAAACCGATACTTAAAACCATATAAATAATGTAATTCCAAAGAGCAATCATAACTGTAATTTACAATAACCAGCAGCACTTTCCTGAGCACTTACTGGGGACGGGGGGTGGGGGAGGAGACCCACACTGCTCTCAGTTCTCCTGAGCGGGGACGAGGCTACCAGCAGTCCCACTTGACATGGTGGCATGTGGAACTCACCCGGTCAACAGCTCACAGGATTCCACCTCCAGTCTGTCAGAGTCCACACTGTTACCAGGTAAAATGCAGGGAGCACAACGTTTCACCCACTGTCAGCAAGAGCCCACTCAGGAGGCAGGGAGGGGAGAGAGGCTTGAGGACTTGAGCTAAGACTGTCTCCTGGTCAGGAGAGGAAGGGCAAGGGGAGAAGCAAGCTAGGAGCAAGTGCTGTTTATAGTTGCTGCAATGTGGACTGGACAAACAAGGTCAGGGAAAACGGCAAGGATGAGGGAAAAGGCAGGAAACATGAAAAATCCCTCACACTGACCAGCAGAAAGACCTCCAAAGTGTGGACCTATGATTAAGAGTAGCCTCTGGCAACAGAGCTCAGCCCTTTCTTATCTGACCCTGAGCAGAGTAAATAAGAGGATGGGTAGTTGAAGAATTTGGGGTTGACAAAGCCTTGCAGCTCCTCACCTAACATTTAACTGCTTTAACCCAAAGATATTTTTCTTTATCGGACTGTGACTGCTACTATGTAGCTACAGAACCTGGAAAGAATTTTCATTTTATGGAAATGCAGTTTGGTTTTTCTAAAGCCCTATCTTGACCTATCCCTATTGACTTTTCTTCTTTTCTCTGTATTTCTTTTCTCTGTAATGTTAACATCAAAATATAACATCACAATGTTTCTGGAAAAAAATAGAGTTCTTAAAAATGTCCTTTCAGCTTTGCAAACTGAAATGCATTTTGATCTGAGAAAGGCTTAAGAAATCCAATGGGTTTCGGAAGAGATTGACTCAAAAGAAAGAGAAAGCAAATCTTTGTCATAAGCAGAGCTGGCACTGAAAAGAAGGACCTCAGAAGTTAGAAAATGAGATCACACCTTGATTTGCCAGCAATACTTGTGAATAACTAAGTTTAAGGGAGGTATAATTCTTTTAACAAAATCAGAAGTTGTCCTGCAACGGCTACACATTTCTTTCCTTGGTCCCAGGAAGTCTGTTTCTCCACTTGACTATTATTTTTTTAGTTCTACTGACAAAATTATAAGGCATTTGATTGCTATTATTTCAAAATTTATATTCCTCTAGAAAAACCTAGAAAAAGTGAATAAAATTACCTCTAAGCACATTTCATTTCAGACTTCAGAAAGAATTTTTTTTTTTTTTTAAATTTAGGAAACAGTAAACCTTCTGGCTCACCTTCAAACCTCAAGGAGATGTGATTAGCACTATCTCAGCTCAGAGAAGTCAAATGAGGACGAACAAAAGGATAAACTCAGGAAATGAAAGAAATGCTAGTATTCTGCTCTCCACAAAATGCCCTAACGGAGCACTAATTGGTGTTTCTCTTGAAGACAGGAAAGGAAGAGAGATGGCTAATTCTGTGAACTTTTTTCCTGGCAGATTCATGACTTAATCCAACACATGTCTCCTGCGAGGCCACTAGGGGTGAGGCACTGGGGGTATAGATAAGGTTTGAACTGTTTGGGTAGGGTGGGGCAGAATGGGAGAAACAGTTCCAGAGATCCCTCCAAAGCTGGAAGAGTACATAGGAGGTCAGCTGCTGGAAGAAACCTCATAGCCAACTGAAGATTCAAATAGGTTTCTAAATCTACTCCAGTGATAACAGGGATGGTTATATGAACACTCCAGTGACACAGCATCACTTGCTATAATGATAGGGGTGCCATTTAAAAAAATTGTTTCTAACTTTACAGCCCAACTTTTAAAAACTATTATTTTAACTAATTTAATTTTTTTAACTGAGGTACCATTGGTTTACATCCTTCAGCATTTAAAAAATTTTTAAGGGAACCAAGAGAATGAGGAGACATGGAAGAGGAAAAGAAGGCAGGAGAGATATCAGACCCTCTCCTTCCCAGGCTCACATCAGGGTCTCTCCTTCCATGTCTGTAACAGGGCTGAAGAACTCCACAATCCACCCCAGCACCCACCCTGTTGATTGTCAAATGAAATCCTGTTTAAGTGCTCACTCCTCCATTGGGCAACTCAGGGGTCAGCTCTAAGTCAATGGGAGCCATTCCCTTCCTCTTTTTTCAGTCAATAAATATCTACGGAAGACCTGCTTACTGAAGACCTGTGCCTATTCCCCTGGGCACTATTCATTTTCTGTTCTCAGCACAGGTTGGAGAAGAGATAGGTAGTCCAATCACAGACATAGAGAAGTGAAGGTAGAGGGTTCCTAGGAAAAAATTCTTCACTCTTTACTCTTAAAAAGATACACCTCTTCTTCACCTGGATATTGTCCGCCATAATAGCAGCTTTCTCCAGCTCACTAGGGAGTGACGCACAGGGCAGGGTCAATATGCTGAGCATAGTAGAGTAGAAAGATGTCAAGAACTTGGTCTTCACACATCACTGAGCTGCTGAATTAGCCAAGCCTGAATCACCCCACCTCAGAACTTCCTGTCATGTCAGAGAGGACACATTATCCTTGTTCTTTAAACTGTCCTGAAATGGGTCCTCTAATCCTTACAGCTGAAAGCATCCTGACTGCTGGAGAAAGTCAAGGGCCTTCTTTGCTATTTAGACTATGTGCAAAACGAATCCCAGGACCCATTCCTGTGGGAGCTGACCAATTCTACCCACATAGGCACAGCCAGTATATGTGAAATCACACTTAAGAAATAAAGGAACACAACAAAATCCAGACCTTTACTCAAACATGCAGGATCCTTTACTAGGTCAAGGGTAAATGCATCTGTGTTTCCCAAACAGAACAGTTCTGGGAATGCCATCCATTGCCGGCACTTCTCCAAAACTGCCTTTCAAGGAGAAGAGAAATTTTGGACTCTGTTTCTCCCTCCCATTCATTTTCATTATTTAATTTGACACTATGTGCCAAGGGTGGGGAGAATGGAAATCAGATGACAAGACTGGAGCAAGAAGAGACATGTATATGCCTCTCAGGGCAGCAGCCACCAGCACTGAAGAAGCTCCTGGAAAGCTCAGAAGTCAGAATCCTGGCTCTGAAGGGGATGGTCTCATGGCTCAGCACCTTTCCCCTGTGGCCCTGACAGCTCCCCCATCCTCTCCACTGGCACCTCCCAAAGCTACCCCTAATTTTGAAACATTCAAAAATAACAATCTTTAATGTGGAAAACATACGGTTTTATTAATCTTATGCAAAGGGTGACTAACTGGATCTTTAAAAGACTAAAACAAGGCAGACATACTGTGTTTTTGCTATGTACACATTTTTTTAAGAGAATCCCTGAAAGTACTTGCTCCCCTGACAGTAATGTCCTTATCCTTCTCACATAGGATATTAAGCTGCTGTTCTGCTATTCTGTAACTATCAGAAACCTTGCCTTGGGCATGTCTGCCTACAGATGAGTGTGTGTGTGCACATACAGCGGGTGGAGGAAAGGTAAGGCAGGATGCAAATAGAAAAAGGAGGAAGTGGGACAGTTCAGATCGTCTGCTCGATCTTGCTGGTCACAGATAGCATTTGGGCCATGAAGGAGCATGGGCACAAAACTATCACCCATCTGCAGGATCCAAAGCACACTGGGTACATGCTCTCAGGAAGAGAAAAGCCAGAGACAGAGGGAAAGAAAGAGAAGCAGAGAAAGATGGAACACACAGGAAGCCAGAGATCAAACACCTCACCATGGACCTAACAGGAGATGTGACCAATGCAATGCTGAGCAAAGGAAAACACCAGGGCCCTAACACTAGGGTGACATCAGGCAGCTGGGTGTCTCTCATGGGAACTGATGACCACAGGTTTCAGCCTTCTCGGCTGTCAACCCAGCAGGCTAAACTAGGTGAGCACAGGGGCCTCCCCTCTTTGCACGTATCACAAAATCCACACAGCCAATATAAGAAAAGCATACAACAAACTTAATCTTTATCTTCCCCGACTGAAAACAAAAGGACAGTCCCACCACAAGACCGAGCAAGTTAAGAAGACAGAGAAGATTGGAGGGCTTTACTAGGAGACAGGAAAAACCAGCAGAAATCACACAAAATGTTACATCCAGATTTAATTCCCCCAAGCTTCAAGACTATGGTATCTTAAATCTGTTAAGGAATCCCCAAACCCAACTTCTGCTAAAGTTTCATTGAAGAGATGGCTATATTTTATAAGCACGTAATGTTTGGCTTCACAAGTTTCCAGATGGAGAGGAATTTTGCCTCAGGATGAATCTTCTGTTCTTTAAGTCGCCCACTCTATGAGATTCTGCTATAGCAGCCTGTACTGTACAGGACAGCAGGTTTTCTTATCTTGAAAGGCTTTCACCAAAAAAAAAAAAATTTAATCCAAAAACTAGAATTGGTTGGAGAATTAAATTCAGCTTCTAAATAAGTTAGTTATCTAGGGCAATTCATTCCCTGAAGGGTACAGTCATGGTTTTACCGGTAGTATTATTATGCTACCAGCAAAAATCATATCCTGCAAGGTAAGCAAAAATACAGACAGAAAAAGTCACTGCCACTATCTTGGGAAATGTGAAGGTGTTGCCACATGAGATATTGTGATTTATAATAAGAATAATATATTCAGTCTGCTCCCATCTCTGGCAAGAGACTCCTACAACTCAGAATTTCCTAAGAAAGGAGAGCCTAAAGGTGTTTTTTTTGTAATGTTAATGATGACTTGGGAAAGGAAGGAAGGACAGGAGTTGGCAGCAGTGGAGTCAATCTTGAGATCAGAGGGTTGGAACTTTCAGTCCTGCTCATGGTGGAGTGGGCAAAAGATTCAGTTCAATTCCAATGACCAATGATTTAATCAGTCATGTACAAATCTAGGAAAAGCAAAAAGGACAGGGATTACAGTGTTTCCACGTTGGTGGCTATGTAGAGGCACTGGGAAAGTGGTGCCTGGGGAGCACATGGAAGCCCCTGAGCCCTTCTCCTCATCTGGCTATGATTACCATACTTTATAATACACTGGTTATCTAGTTAGTTAACTGGCCCCCTGAGTTCTAGGAGCTATTCTATCAAATTCATCAAATGCAAGGAGGGGGTCATGGGAACCTCTGATTTATAGCCAGCCAGTCAGAAGTGAAGGTGACAACCTGGACTTGTGATTGTCATCTGAAGTGGAGAGCGGTTTTGTGGGCTTGAGCCCTTAGCCTGTAGAATCTGATGCTACCTCTGGGTAAATAGTGCCAGTACAGATTGAATCATTAATTGGTTGAGAACTGCTTGTGGGGGAAAAACCTCGAACCACTCCTCTCTCCCACACTGGAATTGGTATTAGAATCCTATTACCCTGGTACATTTCCAGGTAGTGATCCTTAACATTCATTAGTGAGCTCTCTTACTATAGTGAATAGATGAGAGGTAAGGAAGAAATACATCTTAAAGCATATTTAAAACCTGAGTAGGGCCCGTGGAGCATAACTCACAAGAAAGACTAAAGACATCTCCAAAACAACCTAAGTGTAAAACAGAGCATACAAAAATTAAGCCTTTAGAAATGGTTACAGAGAGAAGTAAAGAATATTCCAGAGAGAAGGTACTGAAGAGGAAGAAAAAAGAAAGCATCCTATAAGAGACAATTCAGAGCAAACGTATGAATCTTAAGTATAGCAGAATATCAACCTCGCTTTTAAAATAGAGGTTTTGCCTCCCTCTATCATCATGATGGAGGTGGGGGTAAAATTCATAATTACCTTTTAACCTCATGAAAATTCATACCCCAAATTCATAATAAGCAAAGTTTACTACAATAAAAAAAATCACTCAGGAGAACAAATTACATAAGTAATACTCCCTACAGAATCGACCCTATCTTTAGCAAAAAGGCGTTACTGAGCAGTAATTCAGTATTTTATGACTCAGCTGGTAATACAAAAATAGCTACGAGAAGAACAGCTGACATTCATTGAGGGCTTACAATTTGTCAGTCACTGTTCAGAGAACTTAACATGCATTAGTTTAGTTAACATTATGAAAGTACTCTAACCTGCTCTCAATTTTCTATTTATTAGAGAAACTGCAGCAATCATAAAAAGACGCTTTCAGATACATAAGGTGTAACAGGCTTGTCCCCAGGAAAAGGGGGGAGATCCCCCCTCCCTGCCCTGTAACAAAGGGTCTTCCCAGGGCCACAGAGCTAGGAAGTGGCAGCATGGGTGGTCTGCCTCCACAGTCTGTGCTATAACACTGATTATTTTTGTATTGTATAACATAGATTATTCTTTTAACCCACCTTCTAGTTTTATCTTCTAGATAACACACATCTCAAAAATACCAAAAGGGTATACAACACAGGAGAAATGTGATAAAGTATATCATCACTTACCATTTGGAAAAGCTAATACACTGATGATAAGAAAGAAGAAAATGACAGAGAGGATGCCCCTCCAGATGTTGTCTTCTGGGACAGAGTCATCCCTGAAAACAGAAAAATAACATTGAGCATTCATTTTCAGATCTAAACAGTCAACCTAGAAGGAATGAGTTTCATGTTCTAAAAACTGGAGGATTGCTATTTATTTATTTTGCTGAGCCAAGTCATTATATAGACTATGGGATATTCAGTATCATTTACTAAAATACCATCTATCTCATAATTAAGTACAGTTCTTACAAAAAAAGCAACTGGCAATCTGATGTACCAACTCATATTCTACTTAGACAGGATTTGAGAATCATTATTCTTTTTTTCAAAAGTACCCAGGGTTTCAAAAGTTAAGGTGTATTTAAGAGGAATGCTTTCTAGTTTTAAGAGTAACTGAAGATCATCTTCATTATGATTATATAGACTGTGGTAAAGAAATGTTCGGGTTCAGAAAAGCAGCATAAGAGTATAAGGAAGAAGGGCATAATGCAGGAGATTATATAATTATACCTTAAGATGGGTAGCCGGCTCTCTAAGGGATGAATGATAAGAAAGTATTAGTAAAAACTGTTAAAAGCAAAATCACAGAAAAACAAAATACAAGATTTAAAATCAGAACAGAAGCAAAAGAATCAAATGAAAGGAGATGAGTTTCTTCCATCTTGAGTCTGGTCATTTCTAATTTATTACTCTCTCTCTTTCATAGCCCTAGCAACTGAAATAATTCCCTTTGTTAGTTTATGTTTTATCTGTCTTTCCCATAGCAAGCAAGCTTCTGAAGGCAGGGCATTAGTTGCTTCTATTCTCAATGCCAGGAATCTAATAGGTGCTCAATAGATATAGATTAGGGGGAAAATTTATTGTGTAAAATCAAGTATAACTTCCCAAGTGGAAATTTTCTTAACATTAACAGTGAAGAATCAAGAAGAGAAAAGAACAGAGATATAAAGGCTAAGATTTTTTTGAATTATTGATAATTACAGAGAAGCTTGGGAGATGGAAGTCCATCATTTCAGTTTAAAAAGATGCAGGATGAGTAGACAGAAATATGAGATGGAACAAAATGGAAAGAGATATTTTAGAAATAATGAGACTAGTACCAATAAATCATAAAAGTTATAAAAGAAATTGAGTTTATGTGGAAAAAAACTGCAGTGAAAGAGGTTTCACATGACAAATATTAAATTAAGATTAAACATTACTAAAGGAAAATAAGTGGTAAAATAAGTCTCAGAAGAAAACCAAGTTTGCCTAGGAAAAAAATTCTGGAGCATCAGAATACATGAAGACGTGTAGAATAAAACAATAATGAATTACCGCATTAAGGAATAGGTCCTGGGGTGTTGTTTTAAACACAGAAGGTAACTTAGATATCAATTTCTGTTCATGCTGTTAAATTTCTGCCCTCTGTTTAGTAATTTCCAGACTTATGACTGGATTGAATATAAGGTTCTGAAATAAGGGATCATATGGATAATAAATGTTTTAGATCATTATATTGTCAAATAGCACTATGTGGATAAATAATGTTAACTGGAAATTCACGGATCTGATTACAAAAACTTTAGAATAAAACTGACTTCCTCTTGTAGCAAAGCGAAATCTTGTTTTAATAGATGCTAACATTTTGGGCTTCCCTGGTGGCACAGCGGTTGAGCACTGGGCTGCAAAGCTGCCCACAGCCTCTGCAGCGCCAGTTCGATCCCTGGCCAGCAGGTGAGCGTCCCACATGGCGTGCAGACCTCTCCTGCTGCCCACTGCTCCCCTGAGCAGTGTATTTAGTCAGTCTGCCAGTTCTGTTCCCCGCTCTTTCTCTGGTGAATTGTCTTACCCTCCCGCACTTCTCACCACCCCTGCCCCCCAAGTGCGTGTATAAATAAATAAATAAATAAATAAATAAATCTTAAAAAAAAAAAAAATAGATGTTAACATTTTAACATCTGCCCAGAGGTTATGAATATGGCCCCAAAAATGCCAGCCTGATCATTATTAGGGTAGTTGTGATGCCTTTGGCTTAGGCAGGGAAACCTCTTCTCCGAGACCAGCTTTTAGAGAAGAATGGCTACACACAGGATGGTGGGGACACAATGTTCTTATTCCGACTAACATTATACTAGTGATATTGGTAAAGACAGTGACAGTACTAATTGTCCTGTTTAACAAGTACTTACAGTGTGCCAGACACTAAACAGGCAGTTTATAAACATTATCTCTATCACAACTCATTTGCAAAATGTATGTTGTCAACCACATGTTACAAATGAAGTCACAAAGGCTCAGAGGGTTATATAACTCGCCCTGCTTGGGTAGGTAAGAAGTTGCACAGTCAGCATGCAAATCCAGGTTTGCTAGAAGATGATGGTTTTTTCCCTATGCCAATGTACCTCATGGGAAAAATTACCTGTCCTCCAAAATCAAGCTAATGTTAAATGAACAGGAGTGGTATAAAAGAGCTTGACAGGGCACACAATTTAAAAGTTACAAAAAAAAAAAAAAAAAAAGGTCATAAATTTGCATAGCAAAGTAGTCAAAATCAAAGGAAAAGCAATAAACTTGGAAAAAGTATTTGGAACTCATGTCAAGACTAAAGGTTAATTTTCTAAATATATAATGCCCGCCCTCCCAAATCAGTTAACAAAAAGGACAAGAAATGAACAAAGAAAAAGAGAAAAATGGGCACAGGATGTGAAGAGACAATTCACAAAGAAATCCAATGACTCCCATGCAAGCAAAAAGATGCCTAAGATGGTAAGAGAGGGAGAAGTTAAAATAACACCAAGGGAGCATTTTTAGTCTACCTTATGACAAAGGTAAAAATTTAAAAAGTGAACTGGTGAGGATATAAAGAGGTGAACAGGCCCTTTCACACATGGTGACAGTACAAATTTAAACCACCTTAATGGATGGCATTTCAGGGAATATTAAGTTTACAAGTGTGTATACCTGAGAGTCAGCAATTCCACGTATGGGAATTTGTCCCATAGAAATACCCTCAATTATACAAAAATGACATGTGTACAAGGTTGTTCACTATGGCATTACATGTATTAGCAAAAGGTTGGAAACAAGCTACAGTACACCAAGAGGGAGAGGACTGAGGAAGCAAATTCAGATGCCCCTCTCAAAAATGGGACACTAGGCAACCATGAAAAAATGAAGCTTTTATGAACTAACTGAAAAAGAATAATTTAAAAGATATCATGAAGTAAATAAAGCAAACTGACCAGTGGGTTTGTAGTAAGCAAAAAAAAACAAAAAAAAAAAAACACACAAAACAAAAAAAAATGTGTGTGTATAACGTGCAACTTGTGTTTTAGCTGCACTGCCTATCTCTGGAAATCTACCCAAGAAAGAGTGACACCAGTTTTCTCCAAAGAAAAAAGAAACTTGGGAAGAAAGACTTTTCACCATAGGCTCTATGGGATAGCTTGGATTTCAAGTAATGTGGATATGTTCTTTGCAAAAAAAAATAACTAAAATTTTAACGAAATAAATGGCTATGGTAATAGTAAATCACTCCCTATTGAAAAGACCTGCAAGTCACACTGTTGGAAAATATACCTCACTATTAAATCTATAGTAACTTGAGATCAGTGATGACCTAGTTTCAGGAGAGAAATGAAGATGAATTAAACAATCTGAATAAAATAGCAATATTTCAGGTGGGCCTGAAATATTGGCAGTTTTATATTTGTCTAATTAGAAAAAAACGATCAAAGATGGACAGCGAGGTCATTAGATAAAATGAAAAGACAAAGCACAGGAAGATCAACTTCTGTGATCAAAGATTGGAGTGTGGCCGGGTGAACTTAGGATATTTCAGTTTTATCAGACTAGTGGCCCCAGCTTCACAAACTGAATCCCTTGAGGGTGGAGAGGGTATACCCAAGGCACTAGAACAGTCCTTTATAAGAAATGGACCCAGAAAGAACTACCTGCATGGCTGATGAGGCTACCCAGCTCCCTTCACCCCCACCTCCTCACAACCTGACCACACAAGGCCATTTTTAAGGCCTGGTATGAGTTCATTCTCTCTAAACATCCTATAATCCAGAGACTTAACCATACGCTGAGGTATACAGAAATTTTCCACAATTAATCATGAAAAACAATTTGGCTGCTAAAGCTACTAGACCACAGAAGTGATTCCAGAAACTTCAAATTAGGAAATAAGAATGAGCTATCTATATCTGTACCCACTTAGGAAGCTAGTTATTCTGCATGTTAGCTCTCTTAACCTTCAAAATACCTTCATGGGGTAAGTGATTATAATCTACATTTTATTGATGGAGCCTGGCTCCAAAGTCCAAGTTTTCTACTCTTTTTTTTTTTTTTAATTTATTTATGCATACAAGAAACTAAGGTACAGGTCAGAGGTGGGGGGCAGTGAGAGCATTCATCAGAGACAGAGTGGGGAGCAGAACAGGTGGACTGACTGAAATACACTGCTGAGGGAAGCAGCAGGTTAAGTCAGGAGAGGTCTGCTGCACTATGTGTGTAGCTCCCTGGCAGGGGATTGAACTTGTGCTGCAGTGGCTGTGGATTGCTTCATTGTGCTGCATTTTAACCCCTTGTGCCACCAGAGAGGCCCCCAAATTTTCTACTCTTGAGGCATTTTGATGTAGAGACTAGGAGTTCAGGCTTGGGACCAGACTCCCTGGGCCAAAATTCTGACTTCAACACTTATCAGCCTGTGTGACCTTGAGCAGATTACTCAACCTCTCTGTGCCCTGGTTTCCTCCCCTGTACATGAAGGATAATAGTTCCAACTCAAAGGGTACTTGTGGGGTAACATAACATAAGCAAGGTACAAAACAATGCCTGACATAGAGGAAGGATCAGTTTTATTAGTTCATAATGTTTAATGTTTTTCATTTATGTCCATGTGCATCTTCACTAGTTAACACCAGCCTGTTTTAGGTGCTGTGCTCTGGGCTGAGAAGACAGACACGCTTCTTATTCATGAATCACAATGACAGAGACAATGAGATCAAGTATCTCAGTATAGCTTTGGGCTGAGGAAAAGGTTTTTTTAATTTGCTAGAACATTTTC